TCATTTATGCTTAATTGTTATCTGTTTACAATAATGTTTACCACTGAATATATCATTGCTTAGTTAATCTTAAGTTAATTTTAAGCCTCCCCATAATGCTTTGCATACAAGGGGCTTTGGCATGTTACACTTAACCACTGTATTTCTTTGTACTTCTATGTATCATGTTCAAATTAATAAATAAATAAATAAAAAAGACATTCAAATCCACTCTAAACGCCAGCCATGCCCGAAATGCTCAGTGTATAAATCACACTGTAAACCTTGCAAAAAAATAAAAACTTGGACGTGCAGCTACACGCTACACGTCCTTATCCACTGACGCCTATATAACCGCCAGTCTCCTTGCCTTTGCTCCAGACTCTCCACCACCACAATGCTGTGAGCACTAACTCCACGGCTGAGGGACTGATTACCTCATCTTTTGTACGTAGTTCTACTGTCTACAAATTATGTCCTAGAATCTGTATTGATAAAGCCACTGGATGGTGAAACGTCTACAATAAAGTTATCCAGATGTTGTACATGTGTCTTAACTTTCATTTAATATTTTACTCTTATTAATATGAGGTAGTACAATTTATGATACAAACATACATTTTAAAGATTGCAATTAAGTTTGTTTATTATTAATATGAGGTAGTACAGTGAAAGATAAAGATTCCTAAATGTCGCTCAAGTATCTCATTCTTCATTCCACGCTCAAGAACCACAATGGAAATAAGTCACTTTGATTTTTTGGGGTTTATCCTAGGTAATCTACACACTACTATCATATCATATCATATTCCCAAGCTCTATTATATGATCATCACTTTATTTGTATTAGTCCCTTAGCTCATTATTTTACATTTGTTAAATAATTCAGGTGCTCTTTTTTAGCTTAAGACTTTATACTTTGTTTTATACTTAATTCTAACTATAGATTCACTACAAATCTTATGATTACAAGCATTGATCCTGATACCAACCTCTTATTTAATGACTTAAATGAATCAAACAGTTACTGTAATTACTACACTGCAGAACAATCAAAGGCACTTCTCAGTGCCAACAACAACATAACTGTCTTTAACTACAATATCAGATCTTTAAGCAAGCATTATGATGACCTCATAGCATTACTAAATTCCTTACATGCCAATATGTCCATCATTACACTAACTGAAACCTGGCTAAAGCCTGATAGTACAGATGTCTATGCCATTCCTGGTTACACAGCCATACACAACTGTAGGCCAGACCAACAAGGGGGTGGCACAGCCATATACTACTCAGACCAACTAGAATGTATCACTAATACTTGCACAAGGGATGAACATGGGGAATATATAATAGCTAAATTCAAATCCAAATACCTACAAAAACCTCTCACATTGATAAACATCTACAGAGTTCCACAGTCAAACATTAGCCAATTTAGTCAAAATCTAGGAAGTATGATAACTGATGCACGCATGAACAAAGATCACTTACTACTCTCAGGTGACTTCAATATAAATCTCCTGCAAGACCAGGACCCACACGTTACTGAATTCACAAACACAATGAGTAACTGTATGTTACTACCAACAGTAACAAAACCTACAAGAGTTACAGAGACTAGTGTTTCCCTACTTGACCACATCTGGACCAACACCATATCCCCTTTAAAATCAGGCATAATTACAGATAATACCACGACCACTACCCTACTTTCCTCATAACAACTCTTGGTAAACTACCCCAAGACACTACTAAAGTCACCTTCAGACTTCACAATGAGGCAGCCATTAATAACTTCACAACAGCATTAGCAAACATTGATTGGCACACTGAGCTAGAAATCTATACAGATATTGACGAATGTATTAATAATTTTCTAAAAAGACCCAATACCTCTATAACAAGCACTGCCCTAAAAAACTAAACAGATGACAGCAAAGAGACTGAACAGTCCCTGGCTAACACCCAGCATTCTCAAATCCATAAATACAAAACACCAATATGAAAAACAGTACAGAATGGGTCACATAACCAGAGACCAAACAAAACGTTACTCGTCAATCCTAACCAGCCTGATAAGAAGGGCAAAAAAATTGCATTATGAGAACAGATTATCCAACTTACGAGGTGATATAAAAAAGACCTGGAAAACCCTATCAGAAATTCTGGGAACAAAAAAGATATCACGAAATAGCGAAATAAAATTAGCAAAATCAGATGAACCCCAACTCCCACCAACAGAAACAGCAAACAGACTCAATGATTTCTTCTCCACTATAGGACAAAACCTTGCCAATAAAATCCCAAGCTCAGATACCCCACCAAATGACTACCTCACCGGCAACTACCCGAACACACTGTTCCTAGCTCCGACTAACCCATACGAAGTCTCCCTTATTATCAATGCACTAAAAAACAAGGCAGGAGATTTAAGTACCTTACCACCCTTTATATACAAAAAAGTGTCACAAGTGCTATCTCCAATCATTGCAACACTCTTTAACAAATCCATCGAATCCTCCACCTTCCCTACAGTACTCAAATAGCAAGGGTCACCCGATCCACAAAGGAGGAGACCAAACAGAGTTGAATAACTATAGGCCAATATCCAACTTACACCCTCTCTCAAAAATCTTCGAAAAATTAATTCATAAACGAATCTACTCCTACCTTATCTCCCAAAACATACTCAACCCCTGCCAATTTGGATTCAGGCCTAATAAAAATACTAATGATGCTATTATACACATGCTAGAACATATATACACTGCAATAGAGAAAAAAGAAGTCCCACTGGGGATCTTCATTGACTTACGTAAAGCTTTTGATACAGTTGACCATGACTTGCTCCACGTAAAATTGTCACACTATGGTATAAGAGGGCACTCCCTCAACTACTCAAGTCATACCTCAGCAACAGAAGCCAATATGTGTACGCAAATGGGGCAAACTCTTCTGCGCAACCAATTACAGTTGGTGTCCCACAGGGGAAGTGTCCTTGGCCCTCTTCTCTTTCTCCTATACATAAATGACCTTCCAAATGCTTCGCAATTACTCAAACCCACACTATTTGCAGATGACACTACATACGTCTTCTCTCACCGAGCCCAGTCACACTAGCCAATACTGTAATTACCGAATTACAGAAAATATTCTACCTGGATGAGGACTAACAAACTTACACTAAACATTGACAAAACCTACTTCATTCATTTTGGTAACAGAGCTTCAGATGTCCCTCTTAACATAATGATAAACGGATCACCTATCACAAAGCTAACAGAGGGAAAATTCTTAGGAATCCACCTTGATAATAGACTCAAATTTCATACACATATACAACAAATTTCTAAGAAATTTCCAAGGGCTGTAGGATACTATCGAAGATACGGTACTATGTTCCACAGTCAGCCCTCCTGGCCCTATATCACTCTCTTATTACCCTATCTCACCCACGGAATTTGTGCATGGGGCTCAACAACAATTAACCATCTCAGACCACTAATTACCCAACAAAAGGCTGCAGTTAGAATGATAACAAATTCTCACTACAGGCAGCACACTCCACCAATATTCAATACACTAAACCTACTCACCATACAAAACATCCATACTTATTACTGCACCTATTACATACATAGAACACTGATATTAACCCTCCCCTCAAACATCTCCTTGCCAACCTCAACAGAACACATGACCATAACACAAGGCACAGATCACTCTTTGATGTTCCTCGTGTTCATCTCACACTATGCAAAAACTCAATGCACATAAAAGGCCCTAAAATCTGGAATTCATTACCTGTAAATATAAAAGAAACACTACCTGTTTATAAATTCAAGTCTCTACTCAAAGATCACTTACTCACCCAAAACCAAATAAATACTGAATAACTGAACCTTATAAATTGTATATCTTAAATGTTTCTCACAATTATATCACATAAATGTTAAACCTAAAACCGAATCTAACTTTATTATTTTTTAAATACACTACCTAACAGAATCCTTCATATGACTGAATGCAACCATATGACCTGTCTTTGTAATACTCACTTGTGCTTTATAGTAATCTGTTTACATTAATGTTTTATCACTGAATTCATCATTGCTTAGTTAATCTTAAGTTAATTTTAAGCCAGCCCGTAATGCTATGCATAGTATAAGTGGCTTTGGCATGCTGCTCTTATCTGTATTTTTTTGTACCTCTGTATGTGTGCTCAAATTTATAATAAATAAATAAATAAAATAAATAAATACAAATGCAAATTTTAGTTCTTTGCATAGTATACAATGTGAGAGTTACTAGCATTCCTAAGGATTTCGGTCAGACTAATCCTAATGCTTTCATATGCTGCTTTGTATAATAATTTATATAACTGTATTTATATGTACTTGTACCTGAATAAACTTACTCTACTGTAATAATGCAAAATAATGAATAATTCAAATTTACTATTCCATTACCTATGTCTAAAACATGACTCAAGAAATCGTAATGACACGATTGCAAACAAACCATACCCCCGGCCGGGATTGAACCCGCGGTCATAGAGTCTCAAAACTCCAGCCCGTCGCGTTAGCCACTAGACCAGCTAGCCACAATAAGATTCATCCAACTAGGTATATTTCTACACCATAGGAAGGTTAGCACAGGCACCTCTGTGACCACTTGTGAAAACTTGCATTTGTGGTCACAGTGGTGCCTGTGCTAACCTTCCTATGACGTAAAAATATACCTAGTTGGATGAATCTTATTGTGGCTAGCTGGTCTAGTGGCTAACGCGACGGTCTGGAGTTTTGAGACTCTATGACCGCGGGTTCAAACCCGGCCAAGGGTATGGTTTACCTATGTCTAGTTTTAAGTAGTCTGTAAGCACTGATTAGTCTGCCAGAAATACTCAGACATGTTAGTGGCTTTTTTGTGCTTAACGTTTTATAAAATGTAAATAACACAATATAACTTATGCAAAAAAAAGAAAAATTGTATTTATTCTGACGGTCCCCGCTGTGTTAACCCCTAGAGCAACAATGACAATAAGAACAACAAACACTCACAGCTTAGGCTGTACTTGCCCTTAACACCACTAACAAATACACGTGTGGCTCTCTCTCCGTCTTTTTCACCCAAATATTGGCAATATTTTTATCTGCGGACACCTGAGGTAGGCCGCTATGCAACTCTAGCTCTATGTGACTAACAGTTATACAACATAGGCTGTGGGAACCCTAAATGCAATACTATGCAACATGTACCAGATGGGTTCGATTCCCAGCCAGAGTAGAAACATTGGACGTGTTTCTTTCCACCTGTTGTCTATGTTCCCCATCAGTAAAATGGGTACCTGGGTGTTAGTCGACTGGTGTGGGTCGCATCCCGGGACACTGACCTAATTTGCCCGAAATGTCATTGTTGTCAGCTAGGACTGTATACCTTGTACATGTACTTGTAGTAAATAAAGATATTATTATATTATTATTATTATTATTATTATTATTATTATTATTATTATTATTATTATTATTATAAGGAAAACATAATTCCTGCTTTTCTGTATTTTTTTTTTATAATTATCTGTTATTCAGCTTTATTAACTTTATTAAACAAACACCCGAGTATAGTTGAGGGTTAGACTCTCAAATAGTAGCAGTTGTTCTCAGTTGAAAGGCTAAGCCACTTTATTTAGGTATGCATAAGATAAAAGATTTTGTTCTGATTTTTAACCCCGGAGGGTTAGCCACCCAGGTTAACCCAAGAAAGTCAGTGCGTCATTGAGGGACTGTGTCATATTTCCATTTGGGTCCTCTGTCTTGTACCCCAGGATGTGACCCACATCAGTAAACTAACATCTATATGGCTGCTAGATGTGCAGGACAACAAGTGTAAAGAAACACGCCCAGTGTTTCCACCCTTGCTGAGGATCGAACCACAGACACTCAGTGTGTGAAATGAGAGCATTGCCTACCAGGACACGGGCCACTGTGCTGATTACAGTTGTCAAACATAGTAACATACTTGTAAATTACCTAGGATAACTCCCCCCAAAATCATACAAACTGACTTATTTCCACTGGGAACCATGTAAAATCTTATTGTTTAAAGCTTAGCTGTAAGTTATAATAGAAACCAATCTTGATAATAACTTTAAAAATTAAAGCAACTAAACATGGCTGCATGAAAATCAATTGCAGTAAAGAAGAGGTACAATACTAACAAAGTGAATTGAGTTATTTACAAGGGCATTAAATAGAGAAAATCAGTTGGGTTGCAACCGGCACAAGTGGAAACTTTGCACCATTGTACAACAGTTCTTGTTATAAAAGACTGCCTGGTAATTATTGAGAGTAGGTTATTGTGTGAGTTGGTCAATAATTATTGAAAATGTCGAAGGCTATGTGAATTTTGCCATGAACCTGGTTTTATTTAATGCAAATAATAAAAAAATGTAACCTAATTAAACCTAAAATGTAATTTAACTTAACCTTACTCTGCTGTTAATAGATATAGGAATGGAGTGTTTTTTTATTTTTCTTTAATATTAGCTGAAATAAAAGTGAAATAAAAGAAATACAATATGGCACTCCTCAAAGAGGCCTTGATCAGTGCTCTTCTATACCAGATACTTCTTGGAACATTACAGCTAGCTTGGCTCTTGATCCAGCTACTTGAACTTTGGTTCCCCATCCTTGGATCAAACTTGGTTACCTACTTTTCCCCAAGTACTTATGACCCTAAGGGTTCAGCACTTCCCTCTAAATATATTAATAATAATGATGTACTTGTAATACAAAAGTTGCTTGCAAAACACAAACCACTCTAAATCATGTACAGAAGCCTATAATCATGCAATCCTTACTTTGGTACAAATGTTAGAGTTGATAAAATGATACAAACAGCTTATATAAGATTGCTGATGGATTATCATGCAAGATTAAGACTTGAAAAATACAAAATGAATCTCTGAGAATTATTCTTTGCTGTCTTATAGCCATTAGAATGTATAATATAAGGAAAGAATTAGGTATACCTAGTGCTGCTGATAGAATACATGAAATCACTATCAAAATAGGACTGAAGCTTTTGCTTAGTGGTCAAAATAATGTTGTGTCTAGGAAACTTGGACAAGTCAGTCAAAAGGGAATCTAATAATACTGTAGCTATGCAAAAAATATTTTGATTACATGAACTGTATATTGCTAGGAAACAGGAAGATTTTCTACATTATAAGCAGTTTTCTGCATATCTTTTTTCATATTCATGTACTGAGGGTCATGATGGACAATATTTTTATATAAACTAGTTACAGTAAGGTCCCAAGTTATGAATACCTGCACTTATGAATGGAGGACTTTGAACCAATTACAGTACTGTAGTTTACAAATGCTGATCTGGAGTTGCAGATGTTGCAAACATGAAAACATATTTTCTAAAAAATTATTTTCTTAGTTTTTTATCATCTATATTCATATTTTATGAACCTATATTTGTTTTATGTTTGGAGGACTCATTGTTGTTTAGTAGAGAATGGAATTTAACTGTAGATTTGTTAGTTATGATTTTTGTTCTTTCACCATGTTTTTATTATGAAGATGTTTGTCTTATATTTACTCAATCCCAAGCTCAAACACTGGTTACTGTGACTTTTTTGTCACGTTTTTATTTACAGAGTTAATAAAGCAATATGAAGCTCAAAAGGACGAGCGGTAAAGGACAGAAGTGGAAGAAGGGCCAGAGCTGTGTGTCTAATCCTCAAAATGTCAAACACAGAGAAGCAGCCAGAGGATGTTTCTTTCAAAAAGTGGAAGGTTTGTTGAAGATGACTTTAAGAGAGAATTAATTAATTTCAGAAAGTAAGTTTGTGATTATGTTGTCATTTTTATTTGTCATTAATGATGTTCACATGGCTTCCCTAAAAGTTCACTAAATGTAAAAGTTAACATATGAAATTCCTTCCCTCCTTAGGAAGTGAGTACATGCATGTTTCTGTTTTTCTGTTTTCTATTAGATATGCAATTTTCAGCTATATATTTAATATTGGACCATGCAAGTTGTGTTTCATGCTAAAATATACAGTAGTTAGGAAGATGCAGCATTTTGAAAAATAATGAGAGCAAAAGGAAAACATACGTAAACAAAATTATTGTTCAAGCCGAATTAAAATTATTTATTCAAGAATTTGATAGAGGGTTAGGGTCAGGTGCAACGCTACCACCTGTGAAATGAGTGCAAAATCAAAACCTGTTAATATTTGTTTTTTTTTGCATTCTAGCAGGATTGCTGATATTATACTTGTCTTTTTACATGATCATACAAGGTAAATCTTAAAAGGTAATGCTTATACATACAGTGGTACCTCAGGATACGAACAGCTCAAAACTTGAACAATTATGTAATTGTATTTATCTAAGTGTGCTTTTGGGGGTCTGAAATGGATTAATCTAATTTACATTATTCCTTATGGGAACAAATTCGTTTGGTATCGGCACTCGAACAGCCTTCTGGAACGAATTAAGTTTGTATCCCGAGGTACCACTGTATTCAGTATGCACATGTCATTACTTTCCTCTTTACTTCTTAATACTGTGATTCTTATTCCTATATTATTTCCTTTCCGGTAATATTTCTTTTCCCTTCTTCCACTTGTATACTGCCAGCAAATGTAATTTGCTTCAGTCATGTGACAGAGAAACATGTGAAACCTTGAACAGATGCTCCATCAAACCTTCTTTAACACAGAGGGACAACTAATGTGTCTGGGGAACATTCCAGTAGAAATGGGCCATTTTCTTGAGCAAGACATTTTTCTGACCAGCATGCATACCTAAATAATATGTATTAGAGCTGATTTCCTCTATTCTGATTATTACAGTATACAGTACATTACTGTATAAACATTTAAAAATACAGTGGACCCCCGCATAACGATATTAATCATTTCCTGAGAGCTCATTGTTATGCGAAATTATCGTTATGCGAATGAATTTTCCCCATAAGAAATAATGGAAATCAAATTAATCGTGCAAGACACCCAAAAGTATGAAAAAAAAAATTTTACCACATGAAATATACATTTTCCTACACACAAAGAGAAGGATACATGCACAATAGTAGAGTAGTACATGCACAATATATATTGTGCATGTACTACTCTACTAAATGAAGAATAAATGACACTTACCTTTATTGAAGATGCAGCAATGACTGATGAGACACTGTGTCCTGGGAGTGCCTTTTCCTCCTGAGTACTGTAGGTCCTGTTTGGCATTTTCTTCCAGAACATGCCTTATCACACTGTGTATGCCACTACGATTCTTAAGTCTCTCAAACCAACCTTCGCTGGCTTTAAATTCACCAATATGAGCACTAGTTCCAGGCATTTTTCCCTGTTCACCTGGGTGTTAGTCGACTGGTGTGGGTTGCATCCTGGGAGACAAGATTAAGGACCCCAATGGAAATAAGTTAGACAGTCTTCGATGACACTGACTTTTTTGGGTTATCCTGGGTGGCTAACCCTCTGGGGTTAATTGTTTCTTGGTATTCTCAATAAGCCACACCAACAATGGTGCTACAGCAGCAGCAGCTGACAGTGCTACAGCAGCAGCAGACGGTGCTACAGCAGCAGCAGACGGTACTACAGCAGCAGCAGCAGCTGACGGTGGTACAGCAGCAGCAGCAGCTGACGGTGCTACAGCAGCAGCAGCAGCTGACAGTGCTACAGCAGCAGCAGCAGCTGACAGTGCTACAGCAGCAGCAGCTGACAGTGCAGCAGCAGCAGCAGCAGCTGACAGTGCTACAGCAGCAGCTGACAGTGCTACAGCAGCAGCAGACGGTGCTACAGCAGCAGCAGACGGTACTACAGCAGCAGCAGCAGACGGTACTACAGAAGCAGCAGCAGCTGATGGTGGTACAGCAGCAGCAGCAGCTGATGGTGCTACAGCAGCAGCAGCAGCTGACAGTGCTACAGCAGCAGCTGACAGTGCTACAGCAGCAGCAGCATCAGCAGTTGACCATGGTACCACAGTATTTCGATAATATTTCTCACCCTTTTTACCACAGGGTTGGCACTAGAAGCTTTCTTGGGGCCCATGGTCACTTATTTTGCAGATAAAATCACCAAAAACGCTGTAATAATACGAAATGCTCCGATTGTATGCTTGGATGTTACCGCGGAGGCTGGCTTGTAAACATTGCCACCGGCGGAACATGTGAGACTGGCTCAGGCCTCACATAGACGCGTCTCGGACGAATAGCGTTGAGCGAGTTTTTTAGCGCTATGCGAGGCAAAATTTTAGTGATAAAATGTATCGCTATGCGGATTTAACGTTATGTGATGCCAACGGTATGCGGGGGTCCACTGTATACCAGAAATGTTATAAATGGTGCAAAGGTGACATTAAAACAATATTAGAGATGGTTGACACAAACCCACTACCATTATAGCATGCTCCTCACTTAGCAACGAATTTGTTTACCAATGTGGTCTTAGGAACGGAACTCCGTCGTTAAGTGAGAGGCTGTATATAAATATATTACGATAGACAAAGAAAATTGCAGTTGCCTTAATTTTTATGTACATATGCAAAAAATGAAGAGATGCATTAAATGTTTTAATATAATTATTTATTTATTTATTAACACACTGGCTGATTCCCACCAAGGCAGGGTGGCCCGAAAAAGAAAAACTTTCACCATCATTCACTCCATCACTGCCTTGCCAGAAGGGTGCTTTACACTACAGTTTTTAAACTGCAACATTAACACCCCTCCTTCAGAGTGCAGGCACTGTACTTCCCATCTCCAGGACTCAATCCGGTCTTCCGGTTTCCCTGAATCCCTTCATAAATGTTACTTTGCTCACACTCCAACAGCACGTCAAGTATTAAAAACCAATGTTAGCAAGAAATAACAGTACTGTACAGTAAAGGTACATTGTTTAGTACAGTAGAAAAAAAAAAGAGCAGCATAACTTAGTATTTTTTGTTGTAAATAGAGTAATAACATTTACCTTCAGAGTATTGTTGTCAACAGGGCAAAGTGGTTTGACAAAGGATGCCCTTGCTGACCATGATGCAGTACTTGGAGAAGTGGAGCAGCAGATGAAGGCACTTAATGTGGATACTGAGGATCTCTGTAGTGCAGGAAAGACCTTCAATACTTTTGCCTCCAACTTCACTACCTGCACTATTCCTGCTTTTGATAAGTAAGTTTTGAAAAGTACTGTATATGAAGGATATTCTGTCTTGCTTCAACCTTATTCTCTCAGCATTTAGAGAGACTAAAGTATTTTAGATACAGTGATCCCTCCAAATTCACTGGTGTAACTTTCCTAGATTTCACAGTGTATTGTGAAACTGTGAGTACATACCTCATAATGATAGCCTATTCTCCAAAGCAGAAATTCTGTTCGGTATCATAAAGTTGAATTTGAAATTAAATCAGTGTTTATTAAATAATAAAAATGATAAAAGTGCTTAACTAACCTTCGATGATGATTTTTTTTATTGGATGGAGATTCAGAAGTATAATTTATGTGTAGATTCATCCAGTGATTACTCAGACTTCATGCCTTAGGTGGTGACTAAAATAACTACTAAGGTGTTGGTTGTGGTGGTGGCTGACATACTGATTGTACTGAGGTGCTGGCTATGGTGATGGCTGTGGTGATGCTTGAGGTGCTGACTGTGGTAATGCTTGAGGTGCTGACTGTGGTGATGTTTGAGGTGCTGACTGTAGTGATGCTTGAGGTGCTGACTGTGGTGATGCCTGAGGTGCTGACTGTGGTGATGCTTGAGGTGCTGATTTTGGTGATGCTTAAAGTGCTGACTGTAAAGGTAACTGAGATGCTAGCTGTGATGATAGCTTAGTTGATGATGGTACATATTCTAGATTATAATAATCATCGCAGATATGATTTACTCCCTATATCAAACTATTGCCATGAGAATCTAAAATACTCTTTATTTAAGGTTTTGACATATGCAGAGGCAATCAGCTTTGTTTTGAAAACCAAATTTTTTCTTTGCGTCCCAACAGATTCTTTAGGAATTTCAAAACCTCATCTGAGCTCCAAACCCGTATGTTGGCCATTCATGCTGCAGCACAAGAATACATGACAGAAGCTGGCATGCCAGAGACCTCAACTTCATATTTCTGCAGCTTGGTAGGATTTTTTTTTTTTTTAATCTTTATCCATTGTCAGAATTTAACCATAGAGTGATGTGTGTTGAATTTTATCCTAGCATTAAAAATTGTATCACTGATATAGAATCTACCCTCGTTAAAATATTTCCTAAATTCTAGAGTACTCGCTCCTGTATTTTTTTAACTTTTTTACATCATTACCCATCTAAGAGCAAATAATAATTTTTCAAACATCAGTGCTGGATTAATTAAGTGCCTACTGGGCATGGAGCTTATTGAATTTTGATGGGCTTAAACTCCACTAGAATTCAGCATAATAAAAAAATTATGAAGTCATAATTTTTAAGGTCTTTCTGAAAGCATTACATTTCTATTTTTGTTTTGAGATGCTTCCAAATGAGACACTACTTTAGTTTTATATAAATTCTTGTATGGGCCTATTCTAGCAATGGGCCTAAAGCTTCAGCTCCTTCATTCCCCACTTAAGGCTCTCCCTAATATAATGTAAGCTAATCTTACCAAAGTAATGATAGTTTAATTTGATTTCATTTAGTATTATCTTCCATACTTTAATTAACCTAAATTAATTTGACCAATTAATCTAACAGTATAGCTTGCATAAACAAACTTAACCCTTAAACTGTCCAAACGTAGATCTATGTTTGTGTGTGTAGTGCTCCGAACGTAGATCTACGTTTTTTTTACATAATGTAAAATCAAACATAGATCTACGTTCGGCGCGCTATGCGTGCGAACATAGATCTATGTTTGGACAGTTTAACCCTTAAACTGTCCGAACGTAGATCTACGTTTTTTCAACATTTGAAAGTATGTAAAAAAATGTAGACCTATTTTTTTTTACATTTGAAAATGTGTAAAAAAAACTTTGATCTACATTTTTTTTTTGTTAGATTTGAAAATATGTAAAAAAAACATAGATCTACTTTTGGAGCACTACGCATGTGAACATAGATCTGTTTGGACAGTTTAAGGGTTAAGGGTTAAATAAATATCTGAAAAGTGCATTATGATACAAAATACACAGAATTAGTTAAAAAGTAAACATTTTTTGTTCTGCTAACTCCCACTAAGGTAGGGTAACCCATTTTCATAAGCTTCCTACTGTGGCTTATGCTCTTATTTCTCCAATTAATGTATGTCTTTATTTTAATGAGTTTAGATTTTACTTGAAAAAAAAAAAGTAAAACTTCCTCATCATTGGCAGATGACCCCTCAAGGAAAATTCCTTGACACTGGTGAGGGGCTCTTGATCTTGGGAATTGGATCTGTTCTCCAGTTCCCTGAATTAAGCCTGAATACCTTCCACACATCCCCCACAGTGGCTGTATAATCCTATGGGTTTAGCACTTCCCCCTTGATTATAGGTAATAATAATAATAATAATAATAATAATTGGCAGATGATTAGTTTGGAGGGAATCATTGACAACGAAGATGATGTGGCAGCAACATTGTCACTGATTGTGAAAGTCATCCGTCGTGTCAGCATAGAAGTCCTTCGTGCCAAATTCCTTGAATTTTCCAAGATATTGGATAATGCCATCTCCCAATACCAGTCATCCAAAAAGGGTGTCTTGATCATCAATGTAAGAAATTTTTAGTAAATTGCTTTTAATGCCATTTTTTTTAAATTTTTTATTATAAAAAGTTTTTATTTACCTTTATGTATTGAAAGAAAAATCAGTTGGAATTTAGTGTACAATTTAGCTCTTTTAGAGTTTCTGTAAGTAGAGTTTTTTTTTTTTTAAATATAGCAGTGTGTGGGTGTGTGAGCTAAAGGGGCATGTATGAAGTATAGTACACTGTAGTATGTAATTACCCATTCTATTTATGAGAATGTGATATCATGTATTCATGTATTTCAAGAATAATGTAATACTGTAGTTTTGAGTTTAAAAATTAAAAATTGTGAGTGAGTTAGATGGTAGGAATCAGTGAACAAGACAGCTGGGAGGGAAGCAAAGTTTGAGCTATAGGTATTGTATCTATATACATTACAATAAGAACAAAATATTTATAAATGAAGACAGTATATGCCAAGTATACACAAGTATTGTATACTTGGTATACAATACTTGTGTATTTTATATGTGCATCTGAACACTGTTGACAGTGATATTATTGTGCAATTTTTCTGCTGGGATAACTGCCCAAGACTGCTCAGTTTTATGTTGAAATTCCTGAAATGTAACTGGGTTCTTACTGTGCATAGTATTCTAATTTGGATCTCCAAACAAGTCTGGCCCATGGGTGATCAGAAATTGGTGATTTGGCCAATTTTACTCAAAATTCAAGAAAGGCCAATTTCAAAATAGGGTCCAGAATAAATAATACAGACACTCCTGGCACTAAAAAAAACTTTTTCTCTGTTAATTTGTCACATCTCCAGGTCCTTCTTATAATATGCTTGGCTGGGCCAGACTTGTTTGGAGATCCAAATTAGAACTCATCAAAGGTATATCAAAGGTAAAAGTAAGGTATATCACAAATATTAAAGGGGATATTTTTTTTTTTTCAACAAACCGGTCGTATCCCACCAAGGCAGGGTGGCCCAAAAAGAAAAATGAAAGTTTCTCTTTTTAAATTTAGTAATTTATACGGGAGAAGGGGTTTAAAGGGGATATCTTTCTTCTTTATATAACCGGACTTGAGTCCTGGAAATGGGAAGTACAATGCCTGCACTCTAAAGGAGGGGTTTGGGATATTGGCAGTTTGGAGGGATATATTGTGTATTTTTTATACGTATATACTTCTAAACTGTTGTATTCTAGGCACCTCTGCAAAAACAGTGATTATGTGTGAGTGAGGTGAAAGTGTTGAATGATGATGAAAGTATTTTCTTTTTGGGGATTTTTCTTTCTTTTTGGGTCACCCTACCTCGGTGGGAGATGGCCGACTTGTTGAAAAAAAAAAATATATATATATATACCAATATTTCTTTGAGACATCCTGCAGAGTTGGCTGGAGAGACTCGGAAATAATAAGTAGCTAAGTGATTAATCAGCACGAAGCCTGCTGGAGTTGATATCATATTTTAATTATCTGTAGGTTTTTGTATGTCCACTGTAGGTATGAGAAATGATTAAAAATATGAGTGAAATAAATGGCACATATAAAATAGCGAATGTGAAAGAGTAATAGGCAGTAAGGGAGATGCAGAATTGAATAAGACACTTCCTTGCCATGAGCTCAGTGTGCTGTAAATCATTTGCACTGAAATGTTGCCTTCCTTGCATTAAATTTCCCTACCTGGTAATTCAACTTTTTTCCACTTAATTTCCCTCAGCTCTCTAGCAATTTGCATGCTTTTTATGCAAAGGTTATTCATGTAATTTTTATTTTTCAGCTGATTGGATCTCTATCAGTGCTTCTACGAGCCCAGGAGAAAGTACAGTGGACTCATCCGCATACAATGACCTTCCTGCATAAAATTCTTGCCTACACTATCCATGAGAAGCCTAAGGTATTGCCTCTTGCTATTTGCAATATATTTTTTATCAAGTTCTTATGTTAACAAATTTTTTTAATTTTAATATAAATAAGTAAATAAATAAATAAAGTAAATAAAGTAATAAATACATACATACGTTATATATACGTCTGTGCATGCACACACGAGTACGTGTGTATTTATTTATTTTCTTTTAAATTAAGAATCGTATCATTGATTCATACTTTTTATCTCATTATCATTACTGCATTTTCTATTTCCCCGAAGAGATTCAGGGAAACCAGTTGCTGGATTTGGGTCATGGAGATGAGATATAGTATATCTGCACTCTGGAGGAGGGATGGGATGTTGTAACACAGGGTCATTTAAATCGTGATATCTGGAAGACAAATATTGAATTTGTGATGGTGAAGTGTTTCCTTATCTTGGGTCAACCTACCTCTGTGGCAGACAGCCAGTGTGTTAAGAACAGTAAGGAATGATCGGCGATGAATATTTACAATAGCACACTAGATGTAGGATTTGAAGAAGGATAGTTCTAAAAATTTAGTTTATTAAATGCTGTATTAGATTTTTAGTCTAGCCAACCCTTCAGCTCAATCTGCTAATATAATTTTTTTTTTTTTTTTTTTTTAATGTCGGCCATCTCTCACTGAGGCAGGGTGACCCAAAAAGAAAGAAAATCCCCAAAAAGAAAATACTTTCATCATCATTCAACACTTTCACCTCACTCACCCATAATCACTTTTTGCAGAGGTGCTCAGAATACAACAGTTTAGAAGCATATACGTATAAAGATACACAATATATCCCTCCAAACTGCCAATACAGCATACCAAACCCCTGCTAATAAAGTGTAGTATGAAAAAACTTGGAAAACAACACCTTACATGGTCTCCCTTTTAAACTACTAAATTTAGATGTTCTACAGTAAATATTCTAAATTTGTCATTAATGAAAGCAGTGCAACACAACAACCTTTTCCCACCAAGGTAGGATGACCCAGAGAAGGAAACACACTCGCCATCACTTATTTCCTAGAATGACATATATGTCACAATCGAGCAGAATTTAATCCATGTGATCTCTTTAAATCACCCTGATGTTAATTAATTTTTTTTTTTCAACAAGTCAGCCGTCTCCCACCAGGGCAGGGTGACCCAAAAAGAAAGAAAATCCCCAAAAAGGAAATACTTTGATTGTCATTCAACACTTTCACCTCACTCATACATAATCACTGTTTTTGCAGAGACGATCAGATACAACAGTTTAGAAGCATATATAAAGATATAAAACATATCCCTCCAAACTGCCAATATCCCAAACCCCTCCTTTAAAGTGCAGGCATTGTACTTCCCATTTCCAGTACTCAAGTCTGGCTATATTAAAATAACCAGTTACCCTGAATCCCTTCACTAAATATTACCCTGCTCACACTCCAACAGCTCGTCAGGTCCCAAACACCATTCGTCTCCATTCACTCCTATCTAACATGCTCACTCACGCTTGTTGGAAGTCCAAGCCCCTCGCCCACAAAACCTCCTTTACCCCTTCCCTCCAACCTTTTCGAGGACAACCCCTACCCCGCCTTCCTTCCCCTACAGATTTATACACTCTCCATGTCATTCTAGTTCGATCCATTCTCTCTAAATGACCAAACCACCTCAACGACCCCTCTTCAGCCCTCTGACTAATACTTTTATTAACTCCACACCTTCTCCTGATTTCCACACTCCGAATTTTCTGCATAATATTTACACCACACATTGCCCTTAGACAGGACATCTCCACTGCCTCCAACTGCTTCCTCGCTGCAGCATTTATAACCCAAGCTTCACACCCATATAAGAAAGTTGGTACCACTATACTTTCATACATTCCCTTCTTTGCCTCCACAGATAACGTGTTTTGTCTCCACATATACCTCAACTCTAGGTAGTAGGTTGGTAGATAGCAGCCGCCCAGGGAGGTACTACCGTCCTGCCAAGTGAGTGTAAAACGAAAGCCTGTAATTGTTTTACATGATGGTAGGATTGCTGGTGTCCTTTTTTCTGTCTCATAAACATGCAAGATTTCAGGTACGTCTTGCTACTTCTACTTACACTTAGGTCACACTGCACATACATGTACAAGCATATACGTATATATACACACCCCTCTGGGTTTTCTTCTATTTTCTTTCTAGTTCTTCTTCCTGTTTATTTCCTCTTATTTCCATGGGGAAGTGGAACAGAATTCTTCCTCCGTAAGCCATGCGTGTTGTAAGAGGCAACTAAAATGCTGGGAGCAAGGGGCTCGTAACCCCTTCTCCTGTATAAATTACTAAATTTAAAAAGAGAAACTGTCGTTTTTCTTTTTGGGCCACCCGGCCTTGGTGGGATACAGCCGGTTTGTTGAAAAAAAACAAATGTATATACCTCAATGCACCACTCAGCTTTTTTCCTTCATCAATTCTGTGGTTAACCTCATCCTTCATAAACCCATCTGCTGACACATCAACTCCCAAATATCTGAAAATATTCACTTCTTCCATACTCCCTCTCTCCAATGTGATATCCAGTTTTCTTTATCTAAATCATTTGTTACTCTTATGTGTGTTCACTTTAAACTTTCTACCTTTACACACCCTAATGTATATATTGACCAAAATTAGTGGTAATCAGACATATTGTACTCACACTGAATTTTCAGATCAGAAAAACTGCACAATATAATATTGCTGCTATTCTGAAGAGTTCATCCTTCATGGTGGGTGATGATATTCCTAAGTATGGTCATCCAGAAGCAGGCGCTGTAGCAGAGTTCTGCATTTCCCAGCTCCGAGCCTCTAGTGAAATGGGCAACCCCAAAACTACTCTGCATACCCTTGTTCTCCTCAGACAGGTCATTATGGCCTTCCCGAGAAAACAGTTGAAGGTAAGTAAGTTAGTGATTCTGTAGGTGAATGTCTTATGATTTGTTATTTTTTATTCTTGAGAATGCTTCTTCATATCGACTTGAAACATTTAACACTCTACAGTGTATCTTTAAAACAGATGTATTGTATTGTAATTGGACATTGTAGATCCCTGGTGGCAATTTGTAGTGAATTTTTGAGGGTATCTTTCTTTGCATAATGTAGTGACAGCAAATACTATGTATGGACATACATTTCAAAACCTATGATAATACTCTGAATTAGTAGCACATAAAAACACTGCCATTGAAATTTTTCACAACATCTAATTTTCTGCATAGTTATGGTAACTTCTTTGTGACATTAAAAGTCATTAAGAGTACAACTTTCAGGAACTAAGGAAGGACTGTGATGTGGAACATTGAGAAACACTGCTTTAGAGGTAGTCAAGCTGAGCTCCTGCTTAGCTTCTTATTTTTTTTTTTAATAGAGAATGCTCTACATTTTTTTTCAAGCTCCTCTGCTTCTAAATTTTCCATTGGTGATTGAACTAGGAGTTCCTGTTCCTGTTCATTGAGAAAGTACAAAATTATTTGAGGCTCCTCAAGATTTCTAGAGGGAAATACATACAATAATTTCCCAAATAATTCTTGTACTAATCTTGGTATTCCTCTGTATTCCTGTCAAGAATCATCTCACCTTCTTTAGTTTCCTTTCTTGAATATTGTTCTCTTGGCTCTTCATCACTCTTACTTCTTATTCACACTTTCATTAGGTAGCAAAATGCCAGTATGAAGTTATTGCTTGCTCTTGAAGAGACTGTTTTAAATTCTTTAAGTCGAGCTTTAAATAAGAATGTTGTACCTAGGTCTAGCTGTGCCATTCATTAGCTCTTCTTTCTCTCTTGATTGTCTTGATATGTTTCCTTTTCCTTTGCCTTTTTCTTGACATGTTCCTTATCACTGAATCAAGGAGTCATTATTGCATTATATTTGTCGGGAATCTCAGCAAAAAGTTACTCTACAACACTTATTTGCTTAACACAGTAAGTAGATTCAAACACACATGCTATTACACAAATAACACGCACATAAAAGAGAGAAGCTTACGACGACGTTTCGGTCCGACTTGGACCATTGACAAAGTCAATGGCTTCATCTCTGTAGATGCCTTCCTCTCCCACTACATTGTAAAATGCTCCAAACTTCAGAACACCCGTGACTTAACCTGAATCCTCATTTTTCTTCTTCTTCTTCTTCTTCTTCTTCTTCTTCTTCTTCTTCTTCTTCTTCTTCTTCTTCTTCTTCTTCTTCTTCTTCTTCTTCTTCTTCTTCTTCTTCTTCTTCTTCTTCTTCTTCTTCTTCTTTCTTCTTCTTCTTCTTCTTCTTCTTCTTTCTTCTTCTTCTTCTTCTCTTCTTTTCTTCTTCTTCTTCTTCTTCTTCTTCTTCTTCTTCTTCTTCTTCTTCTTCTTCTTCTTCTTCTTCTTTCCTCTCTCCTTTTCTCCTCTGGGTTGTCTTTCTCTCTCCTGTCTCGTGTTTCTGTTCCTTCTTTATTTTATTTCACCACTTCCCCTTTCACGCACCTCGATGCGCTTGCTCTCCCTCTGTGGGTTTCTAGCTCTCTTGCAGTGCCCCCCTTCCTTTGTATTTGACTGGCTCGTCTTCCTTATTTCCCACTTCTACCACTACCACTACTACTACCTCTTCTTCTTCTACTACAACTACTGATGAAATTAAGACACATGTGCGGCGTCTGGTTGTCTTTGTTGTGGACGTTTCGCCATCCAGTGGCTGGCTGGATGGCGAAACGTCTACGGTGGGGATGCCCGGGTGTTGTGCATGTGTCATTTCATCCTGTCGGTATTATATACAATTCTTGTACTACTACTACTACCTCCACCTCTTCCTGCCTATATATAGCCGTCCTGCTCCACCTCTGTTAGTGTGACTTTGTCAATGGTCCAAGTCGGACCGAAACGTCGCCGTAAGCTTCTCTCTTTTATGTGCGGGTTATTTGTGTATCGTTCCAGTCACGGTATTGTGCCTTTTTGTTACACATGCTATTTTAATTTAGTAAAGGAAAAAAAAAGTACAGTGGACCCCCGGTTAACGATATTTTTTCATTCCAGAAGCATGTTCAGGTGCCAGTACTGACCGAATTTTTTCCCATAAGGAATATTGTGAAGTACGTTAGTCCATTTCAGACCCCCAAACATACACGTACAAACGCACTTACATAAATACACTTACATAATTGGTCGCATTTGGAGGTGATCGTTAAGCGGGGGTCCACTGTAGTTTCATTTTCATTTTTATTTTCATTAAGGTTTGAGTTTTTTATTGTCATGTTCATTAGAATAAGTTATTATGGTAGTGTCATTGTTGTTGATACCAGTTGCTTATGTACAAGTTACTTTGTTTATTATAAATAGTTCTTATTGCATTCTTTCATTCATTTTGATATTCCATTAAATTTAACCAGTGATTTATTTATACATGGTGATATATTTTACAAATATTTGAAGAATATTGAAAGAAGCAAAATTTATAGAAAGTAAAATAACTTTTTTCTTCCAACAGTGTGTATGTGAGTGTATTCTGTCTATCATGCACCTGGGTAAATCTCTCATCAACAACTGTGTCCTGCAAGCTCTCTACAGCCTCTTTGTTTCTGAACCTTCCTCAGCTGTACTTCCAGCTGACACTAACTGTGCTCTGATCCGTGCTTTGACAGCAGAAACAGCTGGTGTGCCCAGCAGTTCACTCGCAATAGTACCTGGGATGAATAATCCACAACCAGCCAGTGCTTGGATAACAGTCCTTACAGTAGCACACATTAACCTCTTTAAGTAGGTTCTAAATGGCTATTATAATTTATTGAAAGTGTCTCATGTTGGAGCTCTTGATGGTAACTCTTCATAAAAATATTTATAACTCTAAGTGCACTACAGTATTACCAAAAATAGTTTTACAGCATTTCTGTACGTTACTAAATAAATATTAATCTTTATATTATGCAAAGCTCTTAATCATTTCTAAAATAAAAATGGGTTACTAGATATATTAGATATACAGTGAGATGGTAGTGCATTATATTACTATTCCAAGAGATAGAATTCATGTTTATTAATAAGATCAGTAGGATATTATATCCTGTTTGCAGAGAACTTTTTAACAAGGATATCATACCTCCAGACAGGACAGACTTCAAACCTTGGCGATTACTTAGAGCATGTTAACTTTAAATAATCAGTAATGATAGAGATGTAGATAAACACTGATTCTTACACTATTAATATTCTTTGGATCACATTTATTATGCTTACTTAACTGTATCCATTTATGTCCCAGACTGAATGAAGAGCAGGGTATGCAGCACATTGTCTCATGGATTAAGAACCTTGTACCCTACTGGAGGAGTGATCATGCTGAAATACATGCAAAGGTGGGTATGCTATTTGCCTCCTAATTTTCTCACTATATCTGTATTTTGAATAATGATATCCCTTTTATTGAAGATACCTTATGAATATTTATCCAAGATTGTCACTATACATTTTTTAAATTTCTTAATTATGATTTTTTTTTTATTCATATCTGACATTGTATTAGATATAACTGTGGCTAGTATTGAATCTACCAGAGAAACCAGTAAGCTAAAACTTTAGATAGAGATATAGTCAGGATACTTCAGATCTTTTTATGCCTTAAAATAGTGGGATTTAACTTTTTTCATAACTGTTAATGATGGGTACAAAGTAAGAGATTGAATGTCAAATTGGAGGGAGTAAATGTGTTTATATATTTGGGAGTGGACTTGATGGTAGATGGTTCTGAGAGATTAGGTGAACCACAGAATTAACAAAGGGGAAAAAAAGTGGGTGGTGCATTCAGACATCTGTGGAGACAGAGAGCTTATCTGTGGAGGCAAAAAAAGGGGAAGTGTACCAGAATATAGTCATATGGGTGCAAAGCATGGGTTTTGAATGTTGCAGCGAGGAGGAGGAGGCTGGAGGCAGTAGAGATGTGTTTGAAGGCAGTGTGTGGCTTGAATATTATGCAGAAAATTCAGGGTTTGGAGATTAGGAGGACATGTGGTGTTACAAAAAGTATTATTCAGAGGGCTGAGGTGGGGTTGTTGAGGTGGTTTGGACACTTAAAGAGGATAGAGAAAAAATAGGATGATTAGGAGGGTGTATAAATCTGGGGTGGAGGGAAAAAGGGGTAGGGGTCATCCTAGGAAAGGTTGGAGGGAAGGGGGTAAAGAAGGTTTTGAATGCTAAGGGCTTGGACATCTGACAGGCTTGTGTGAGTGAGATAGATAGATAGAGTGGAGCCAAATGATTTAAATGATTTGATGTGCTATTAGAATGTGAGCAAGGTAGCATATATGAAGGGATTCAGGGAAAACTGGTTAGCCTGACTTGAGTCCTGGAGGTAGGAAGTACATTGCCAGCACTCTGAAGGAGGGGTAGACATATGGTTTGGAGGGGTCATCTGAACTGTAATGTCATCATGTGTCTGGCAAGACAGTGATTGCATGAGTGGCAGCAAAAGTGTTTTCTTTGTTGCATCACCCTTCCTTGGTAGGAGATGACTAATGTTAAAAAAACTTGTATGAATCAACATCTTTCTTTCTTTCAACAAACTGGCCGTATCCCACCGAGGCAGGGTGACCCAAAAAGAAAAACAAAAGTATGAATCAACATGTTTAGTTAATTTTTTTTTTCTTTTAACACACTGGCTGTATCCCACCGAGGTGGGGTGGCCCAAAAGGAAAAACGAAAGTTTCTCCTTTTACATTTAGTAATATATACAGGAGAAGGGGTTACTAGCCCCCTGCTCCTGGCATTTTAGTCGCCTCCTACAACACGCATGGTTTACGGAGGAAGAATTCTGTTCCACTTCCCCATGGAGGTAAGAGGAAATAAACAAGAACAAGAACTAGTAAGAAAATAGAAGAAAACCCAGCAGGGTGTGTATATATATGCTTGTACATGTATGTGTAATGTGACCTAAGTGTAAGTAGAAGTAGCAAGACGCACCTGAAACCTTGCGTGTTTGTGAGACAGAAAAATGGACACCAGCAATCCTACCATCATGTAAAACAATTACAGGCTTTCGTTTTACACTCACTTGGCAGGACGGTAGTACCTCCCTGGGTGGTTGCTGTCTACCAACCTACTACCTACGGTTTAGTTAAATACCTTTGAAAATCATTTTTTTACTTTTGTCACTGTATTAATTTTTTCCCTGTGTTGCTGTATCTTGCATGTAATGATCAAAATTACATGAAAGGAAATTTTGAAGTCTGGTTTAAGTGTGAGTAGATGTAATGTGAATGTTAAGAAAGATATTTTTCATGTTATAACTAAGAAGCTGGAAGTTCTAATGAGTGAGACGAGAGTAAAAAAGAAAAAGGGTTTTGAAGAGTTAGTTAAGAAAGGAGTAAATACAATTATAATTGAGTGTATGTGAAAGAGTAAGAGCTATAAGTGGGGTGGCAATTTTGTAGGAGCAATTGTAGAAGGAAAAGATGTGATATAAATGTTTAAATTTGAGAATTGTGAAATTTGAAATGAAGGTGGGATGCAAAATGTTAGTAATAGTCAGTGTTAATGTTGCAGTTTAAAAACTGTAGTGTAAAGCACCCTTCTGGCAAGACAGTGATGGAGTGAATGATGGTGAAAGTTTTTCTTTTTCGGGCCACCCTGCCTTGGTGGGAATCGGCTGGTGTGATAATAAAAAAAATAATAGTCAGTTATGCAGGAGAGGAGACATACAGATTATGGGAGGTGTTAAATAACTTTTTTAGATAATTTTAAATCAAGTGAGAAACCAGTTATTTTGAGAGAGGACAATGCAAAAGTGCTAGATGCTGTTGTGGAATGTATAGTAGGAAAATTTGAAGAGCCTGGAATGATAGCTAAGTACCAAGTGATGGTGAATGTGATTTCTTCTTTTGGCCACCCTGTTCTAGAGAAAAATGGCAGTTGTATTAAAACAGTACCCTGTGATAATAATAATAATAATGTGTTGTATTAATTTGATTAATCAATGATTTTTTGTTTTTCATAGCTTTTATTTTTATTTTATTTTGCATTCACAGGTGTTTGAGTCATTTGAAGCACTTTTGCAAGAATGTGTAGCCAACTGCAGCAAAGCATTTCTCAGCAGTGACCAGGATCATGTGACAACTATATTTCAGGCTATTGAGGGAGGCCTTTCTTTCCAGTTCCAGTCTGCTTGGGGTCATGTGTTTAAGTGCTTGAATGTGTGCTTCACAGTTATTGGTCCTATTTTTCCAAGCTTGATGGAGCCATGTCTTAAAAACCTAACAGAACTTATGGAAAACTCTCAAATACCTCACCGTTTGCACCTGGAAGAAGCTATAGGTGCAGCAGTGAGAGCTCTGGGACCCAAGTCGCTTATGGCAGTAGCTCCACTCAAAGTGACAGGCAGTATGGCTGAAGATGAAAAAAATTTTTGGGTCCTTCCTATTCTTAAGAAATATGTTAGGAATACACAACTGTGTTACTTTGAAGATTACTTTGTTCATTTAGCTGGTAAGTGCTTTATGCTTCTTAACTCACTGAAAGAAAAAAAACAAGAAAATTCTATTCTGTCCAAGACATACCAGGTAATAGAAAGGCAGATCTGGGCATTGCTTCCAAGTTTTTGTGATAAGGCAACCGATATTGAAGAGGCTCTCAGCAATGAGAAATTTGCACGTATTTTGTGTGACCACATTAAATTTCGTGATGATACAAGAACGATAGTTATGGCAGCTTTCCGCAACATGATTAATGATAACATTGATAATACTGGAAGATTAGCCCTGTATGCTAAAAACTACATTCCAGCTTTATTTAATGTTTATCTTACTCGGCCCAAGGACAAATCCAAAAAAGAAACAGAGGAGCCTACAATAAGCAATGGACAAAGACAAGCTGCATATTTTACAATCAAGACTTATCTTCAGATTGTCCCATTGCCAAAATGCAAGGAATTCCTAGGACTCATCATGACTAAGTATAATGATGAAATTGACAGCTTTAAAAAACAGGCATTTTTGGACTTAGCCAGGACCTTTCTTCCTTACCTGGATAGCAGTTTGCTTCAGCGTCTCTTTGAAAAAGTAACACCATTGATCGGCTCAGCAAAGGATTCCAAGGACCAGAAAGCTGCCTATAGAATGTTAGAGGAAATATTGGGTGTAGGAACAGAGGCTAGTCAAGATTTCGTCATGAAGAATCTGGATGGCTTATCTAAGTTGCTACTGGAATCGCTCTCCACTGCAGCCCCTCCTTCACGTGCACCCCGCCTGAGGTGTATGAGACAAGTCATTCTTCAGTTGAGAACTGACATGGAAACATCAAGTAGAGATGCCCTAATGCATCAAGTGGTGGGAGAATGTGTCATGTGCTGTGGGAAGAGTATGTCTGAACCAGCACGTAAAGCTGCATTCCTCCTCTTGTCAGAAGTTGGTGCCACCATCCAGAAGCATCTTCAGGTAAAATTGAATCATTGTTTTTTCAGTTTCATTAATGCATGCTAAAAAAACAGTTACTTTGATTCATCTGTTGAATCATCATGAAGTTCATTTCTGTTTTTTTCCCCCTCACACCACATTATTTATAATGTTTTAATTTTTACCTTTGTAAATTTTCACAATAATTTTTCCCATTGATTTGTATCTTTATTTTTCATAATGGCAGTTTTAACATCATCATTCCATTCTGTCAGATGAATTGATGTTTCTTGTATGTCTTTCTTTTTAATTTCACACTTTTTATTACTATTTCATTTTTTCATAACTCACCCTTGTTCATTTAGGTAACTTTCTGTCCATCACTCTACCTTAACCTGAAAATGGTATATACAGTGCTGAACATTATGTAATACCTACCAATTTTTTATTATTATTCTGCTTCCCAACTAACTCTTAAACTCACTAATTATGATTTTTTTTAGTTATCCTGTAAGTGTGCTTGTAGTTAAAAGTAACACCAGTCTTTGAAAATTAAAAACAACTGAACAAATGTAGAGACCAGAATTCCCACATTTTGAGCATTCATTGCAAATAATGCAATATGTGCTTATCTATTTGTACTTACCTACTTGTGGATGCAGGGGTTGATTCTCAGATCCTGGCCCTGCTTCTTAACTTGCCCCTCTCCATATTCACTCCCTCTTAGCCTCATGAACCCTTTTGTACCTGCTCTTAAAACTAAGTTTAGACCCTGCCTCCACTAGTTACTCACCAAGACCATTCCACTTCCTGATCAATCTGAGACTGAAGAAAAAGCTTCCTAACATCCCTTTGGCTCATCTGTGTCTAACTTCCAGCGGTGTCCCTGAGTTCTCATTTCTTGCCTCTCAAATAGCCTAGCCCTGTCTACCTTATCAATTCCCCAGAATATATTGTATGTTGTTATCATGTACCCCTCATCCCCTGGATTTTCTGTCCTTCAATATGTACCCCTTATCCCCTGGATTTTCTGTCCTTCAGTATGTACCCCTCATCTCCTGGATTTTCTGTCCTTCAATATGTACCCCTCATCCCCTGGATTTTCTGTCCTTCAATATGTACCCCTCATCCCCTGGATTTTCTGTCCTTCAGTATCACTCTTTCTTCCTCCCATTGCCTCTCCTTCTAGATTTCTTAGTCTGTTTTTACAATTTCCCTTGCTGTCTCCCTTATCACATTTTAAGCTTCCTTCTCCTTTCCTCAGTGTTTCTGCCCCTACTACTCTCTCTCATTTCCTTCATGATCCTTTTCTAGTTTTAGGGCTCTGTCTTCTGTTTACCTGATTTTCATACAGACAGCCACCAATTCCTCCTGGAGGGAATTGAACTGACTTTCAGAAGTCTTTCTCCGTATTCCTCCTTCCATAGTCTATCAGTCTATTTTGTCTTCCAGTTATAGGGTCCTGTCCTCTGCAACAGTTGCCCTAGTTATCTGTTTTGTGATTTTATCCCTTGCTTCATTGCAAATTGCTACAGCTTCTCTGTGAAGGGAATTAAACTTTCCCTCAAACTCCTCTCTTGATTGGGTCTTCAGGCTATCCATTATGGTTCCCAGGTAGTGCCAGCTGCTTCCTTCATTTCCCTCCTCTCCCCATCTTTGATAGTACCTTTGACTTGCCATTTTTTCTCTTACACAAATATAGTTTTTTTTTTTTGTATGTGTATGTGTGCATGTGTGTGCATGTACATGTGTGTGTGTGTGTACATTTACTTACCTGATTGTACTCATCTAATTGTGGTTGCAGGGGTCTAGTCATAGCTCCTGGCCCTGCCTCTTCAGTGGTCGCTACTAGGCCACTCTTCCTGCCCCATGAGCTTTATCATACTTCTTCTTAAAGCTGTGTATGGATCCTGCCTCCACTACATCACTTCCCAGACTATCCCACTTCCTGACAACTCTGTGACTGAAGAAATACTTCCTAACATCCCTGTGATTCATCTGAATCTTCAGCTTCCAACTGTGTCCCCTTGTTGCTGTGTCCCATCTCTGGAACATCCTGTCTCTGTCCACCTTGTCGATTCCTCTCAGTATCTTATATGTCGTTATCATATCCCCCCTATCCCTCCTGTCCTCCAGTGTCTTCAGGTCGATTTTCCTTAACTTCTTCTCATAGGACATTCCCCTTAGCTCCAGGACTAGTCTTGTTGCAAACCTTTGCACTTTCTTTAGTTTCCTTACATGCTTGGCTAGGTGTGGGTTCCAAACTGGTGCTGCATACTCCAGTATAGGCCTAATGTATACAGTGTACAGGGTCCTGAACAATTCCTTATTAAAATGTTGGAATGCTGTTCTTAGGTTTGCTAGGCATCTGTATGTTGCAGCAGTTATTTGGTTGATGTGTGCCTCAGGAGATGTGCCTGGTATTATACTCACCCCAAGATCCTTTACCTTGACTGAGGTTTGTAGTCTCTGGCCCCCTAGACTGTGCTCCATCTGCAGTCTTCTTTGCCCTTCCCCAATCTTCATGACTTTGCACTTGGTGGGGTTGAACTCCAGGAGCCAGTTGCTGGACCAAGCCTGCAGCCTGTCCAGATTGCTTTGTGAGTGTGTGAGTGTGTGTGTATGTGTGTGTGTGTGTGTGTGTGTGTGTGTGTGTGTGTGTGTGTGTGTGTGTGTGTGTGTGTGTGTGTGTGTGTCTGTCTGTCTGTCTGTCTGTCTGTCTGTGTGTCTGTGTCTGTCTGTCTGTCTATGTATGTCTATCTGAGTCTTAATGTTGAAATGTACAATGCATCATAACTACCAGTGAAAGACATAGATAAAGTTTAGCCTTCTTTTTAAATCCCTTAACTGATTCTCTTTTAGATTCTCCAACTTTCACTCATTTACATTTTTTTTTTTCCAACAAGTCAGCCATCTCCTACAGAGGCAGGGTGACCCAAAAAAAGAAAGAAAATCCCCAAAAAGAAAATACTTTCATCATCATTCAACACTTTCACCTCACTCACACATAATCACTGTTTTTGCAGAGGTGCTCAGAATACAACAGTTTAGAAGTATATACATATAAAGATACACAACATATCCCTCCAAACTGCCAATATCCCAAACCCCTCCTTTAAAGTGCAGACATTATACAGTGGACCCCGCGTTACGATGGCATCGCGTTACGTTAAATCTGCCATACGATACATTTGAATGCAAAAGTTTTGCCTCGCCTCACGCTAAAAACTTGCCTCACACAATTCTTCTGGGACAAGTCCCAAGTGTGGCCTCAGCGCCAGTGTTTACAAGCCATCCAGTGCGGTTGCATTCATGCATACATTCGGTAAATTTCACCTTATCCCAGTGTTTTTTGTGCTTGTAACTGCAAAATAAACCACCATGGGCCCCAAGAAAGCTTCTAGTGCCAACCCTGTAGTAAAAAGGGTGAGAATTAGTATGGAAATTAAGAAAGATTTTGAGGGATTTGGGGCTAACCCTGAAAAGCCTATGCCAGTTGTGGAATCCATTGTGCCTACTTCAAAGATTAAGGAAATCTGTGCAAAGTGGGTTGAACTGCAAACCTTTATGGATGAAAAGCACCCTAACACAGTTTTGCAAGCCGTGCTGGTGACTTTACAATGACAATGTTGTGGCCCATTTTAGGCAAATTTTAAAGGAACGGGAGGTACAGAGCTCTATGGACAGATTTGTTGTGCGACAGAGGTCCAGTGACTCTCAAGCTGGTCCTAGTGGCATTAAAAGAAGAAGGGAAGTAACCCCGGAAAAGGACTTGATACCTCAAATCCTAATGGAAGGGGATTCCCCTTCCAAACAATAACAACTTCCACACTCTCCCCACCTCCCATCCCATCAATCATCACCAGATCTTCAATGAAGGTAAGTGTCATGTATTCTATTCTCAGTAGAGTATTAGTATTAGTGTATTAAAATTAATATTTCATGTGGTAAAATTTTTTTTTTTTTCAGACTTTTGGGTGTCTTGCAGGGATTGATTTGATTTCCATTATTTCTTATGGGGAAAACTAATTCGCCTTACGATAATTTCGGCTCACGATGAGCTCTCAGGAACGGATTAATATCGTAAGGCGGGGTCCACTGTACTTCCCATTTCCAGGACTTAAGTCCAGCAATATAAAAATAACCGGTTTCCCTGAATCCCTTCACTAAATATTACCCTGCTCACACTCCAACAGCTTGTCAGGTCAAAAAATACCATTCATCTCCATTCACTCCTATCTAACACGCTCACACACGCTTGTTGGAAGTCCAAGCCCCTCGCCCACAAAAGCTCCTTTACCTCCTCCCTCCAACCGTTTTGAGGACGACCCCTACCCTGCCTTCCTTACCCTACAGATTTATACGCTCTCCATGTCATTCTACTTTGATCCATTCTCTCTAAATGACCAAACCACCTCAACAACCCCTCTTCAGCCCTCTGACTAATACTTTTATTAACTCCACACCTTCTCCTAATTTCCACATTCCAAATTTTCTGCATAATATTCACACCACACATTGCCTTTAGACAGGACATCTCCACTGCCTCCAACCGCCTCCTCGCTGCAGCATTTACAACACAAGCTTCACACCCATATAAGAGTGTTGGTACTACTATACTTTTATACATTCCCTTCTTTGCCTTCATAGATAACGTTTTTTGTCTCCACATATACCTCAATGCACCACTCGCCTTTTTTCCTTCATCAATTCTATGATTAACCTCATCCTTCATAAATCCATCTGCTGACACATCAACTCCCAAATATCTGAAAACATTCATTTCTTCCATACTCCTCCTCCTCAATTTGACATCCAGTTTTTCTTTATCTAAATCATTTGATACCCTCACCACCTTACTCTTTTCTATGTTCACTTTCAACTTTCTACCTTTACACACACTCCTAAACTCGTCTACTAACCTTTGCAATTTTTCTTTAGAATCTCCCATAAGCACAGTATCATCAGCAAAAAGTAACTGTGTCAGTTCCCATTTTGTATTTGATTCCCCATAATTTAATCCCACCCCTCTCCCGAACACCCTAGCATTTACTTCCTTTACAACCCCATCTATAAATATGTTAAACAACCATGGTGACATTACACATCCCTGTCTAAGACCTACTTTTACCGGGAAGTAGTCTCCCACTCTTCTACACACCCTAACCTGAGCCTCACTATCCTCATAAAAACTCTTTACAGCATTTAGTAACTTACCACCTATTCCATATACATGTAACATCTACCACATTGCTCCTCTATCCACTCTATCATATGCCTTTTCTAAATCCATAAATGCAATAAAAACTTCCCTACCTTTATCTAAATACTGTTCACATATATGCTTCAATGTAAACACTTGATCTACACATCCCCTAACCACTCTAAAACCTCCTTGCTCATCCGCAGTCCTACATTCTGTCTTACCTCTAATTCTTTCAATAATAACCCTACCGTACACTTTTCCTGGTATACTCAGTAAACTTATTCCTCTCTAATTTACATTAATACATAGCTGTTAATTATTCGTCTGTTTTATATAGTAATATTTAAATTTTAACGCAAGATATCAGGTACATCTTGCTACTTCTGCTCACACTTAATCACACTACACATGCATGTACTTGCATGTATACACACACACACTCATCTGGGTTTTCTTCTGTTTTCTTAATAGTTCTTGTTCTTTATTTCCTCTTATCACTATGGGGAAGTGGAAAAGAATTCTTCCTCCATAATCCATAAGTGTCATAAGAGGCAACTAAAATGCTGGGAGCAACTGGCAAGTAACCCCTTTTCCTATATAAATTACTACTTTTAGAAAGGAAAACTTTCATTTTTCTCTTTAACCCTTTCAGGGTTGACAGGCCCTCTCAGAGACTTGTTCTCAGGATCGGCCAAATTTCAAAAAAAAAAAATTATTTTTTCTTATGAAAAGATAGAGAATCTTTTCCTGATCATAATGACACCAAAAGTATGAAATTTGATGGAAAACTTACGGAATTATGTTCTCGCGAAGTTAGCGGTCTTGACGATGTTTACGCATCAGCGATTTTGCCCACTTTGAGCCCTATTTTCAGCCAATTCCAGTGTACTTGTCGACAAAAATCATAACTATTTCGCTAGAACTCCATTTTTTTCTATCGAATGAGTACAAGAAACCACCCATTTACTGATTTCAACTATCCAATACAGTGGTCAGAATTTAGCAATTTTGCCAATTTCACACAAATTTCAAAAGATGCCAATTTCCGAATAGGGTCCAGAATAAACAAGAAAGACATTCCTGGCACTAAAATAACATTTCCTCTGCTCATTAGTCACGTCCCCATGCCCCTCTTACATTCTTTTGCTTTCCACTTTGAATTTTTTTTCTCACAAAAAAATAGAAGATTTACTGTTATGCAGACTACTGCATTGGTGTAGAAATGGTATAAATATTATCAGCGCACTTGTGAAAGAATATTAGACTCACCAGTTGACGTGTATTGGATGCATAGCATGATTTGTTTACTCTTGAACTTTGGTAAAAATCGAACATTTCTGCTACTTTGAGCACAATTTCAAGGTAGTTTTCTTTGTAAAACCAGTCAAAATCATCTCAATTTCTGTAATATGTCTTCCATTCTATAAAATGAGACCAGGAAAACTAGAATACAACAATAAATACCATATGAAAATACAGTGCAAAGTCGCTGTTTTAATCCAAAAACACGGTCAAAGTTTTTTTTTTCCTCATTACACACTGTGTGCTGCAGGATTTTTTTTATACTGCACACACTGACCACATAGACCCATTCTTTCATATATAGGCCTACCAGCTTTCTCTCACTAGATTTGAGGGCGCTAGAATTTAGGCGTACTAGTACGTCAAAAACCCTGGTGTGTAAGCCATACTAGTACGGCCGAAACCCTGAAAGGGTTAAGTCACCCTGCCTTGGTGGGATGCGGCTGATTTGTTGAGAAAATATAATTAGGATACAGTATTTGAATGCATATGCTATACTGTAGCTTCCAGTGTGTGTGCTTGTGTTTATTAAATGTTAACTAGACCAAATGTTAGTGTTCAGGAGAGGACACTGTGCGTCACTGCCTGAAGCTGCTGCTGGCTGGACTGGTTGGTACACCGACTCTGGCAGCTAACTCTATCTTGGCCATCACTGCACTCACCTATCAGTATAAAGGTAAAAATATTAAATCCTTGGTTTACACAAACTGAAAATGTTAATTCATCATCACCCAAATGAAAAAATTCAATCATAATTTGATTTGCACATAAAATGCCCTTGATGCACATGCTGTAAATTGTGAGCTAATTAAGAATGATGCTTGAGACCATGAGCATCACTCTGCCCAGGGCTAATTTCTGGAAGCATCATGTTGTTTACCCAGTGTGTTTATTGAAAAGTTTTGGATATTATCACCACTCCATCTCATCCCTGGATATTTACCATGACACCCAGTAATGATGATGGAGGTGCCAAGAAGACAATTGAGCATGAAATAGGTGATTTTTAAGAAAACTGAGTTACAGTATTAGTTCAAGGTAAGTAATGGAGGAGGGAGGTAGTGCATAAAGGTTTAATCCCTAATTGCACTGTAATTACATCTTATTGTACCTTTAACAGTCATCTGCTTACCTTAGTTATATTTATATAGTTGTTGACTATGTTGGTGATTGACAATACATTGTAAAAGAGTCATGTAGTGAAGGTATGATCTTTATTGCAGTGCAGCCATGAAAAATGTTGGTTTGGATATTATCATCAGCTCATCTTGTCTCCTGTATATTAACCATGGTGCTCGAAAGAAATATGTTGGAGGTGCAAAGAAAATTTGGCATGAAACCTTTATGGTTTCTAAGAAAATTGAGGTATCAGATATTCTTCAAGGTATATGTAGGAAAGGTGAAAAAACTTCTCCATTTGCAATTTGTTAGGCCATAACAACTGTATGGATATTGCACAGGGCTACATTAATCTTCTTGACATACTTGCATATCAACAAGTAACACCAAATGGAATACTATAATATTTTGTGTCTTTTGACTTTTTAGCCTACTTTCCAAAGATTTTTTTTTTTTTTTTAGATCCAAGCAACTTAACCCTATTTTTTCCACGTATGTTTTTCACTTTGGTTTACACTAATTTTAATAATTCTTTGATTTTCAGGAACATAATTTACGTGTTTTACTCAAGGGTCTTTTGTATTCAGTTTACTTTCTTATTTAACAATTGCAAGTTAGAGAAAAGTAATTTTTTAATAAGTTCAAGGAGTGCAGTTTAAATCATTTATCAAAGTTTTTGCCATATTTTGCTGAATATTTCCTACATTATAAAGTGCAAATAAGTTAGCTTAATTTTTTTTATCTTTTAACACACCAGCAGTCTCCCACCAGGGTAGGGTGATCCAAATAAGAAGAAACACTTACCATATCTCATTCCACTGTCTTGCCACAGGTGTGACAATAATACCACTTAGATGCCCCTCTAAACTTCAACTAACCCAGCCACTACTCTTAAGAGTGCAGGCACTAAAGTAGGGGCTGGCTCACACTTGCTTGTTGAATGTCCAAACCCCTTGCATACAAAACCTCATTTACCCCCCTTCCCTCACCCCTACCCCCACCTTCCTTCCACTACAGATGTATACACCCTATAAGTCATCTTACAATTTATGCATCCTCTAAGTTATCCTATTTTGCTCCAGCCTCTCTGAATGTCCAACTGCATTAACAACTTCTCAGCCTTCTGGATAATACATTTAGTAACTCCACCCTCCTCTTAATCTCTAAACTACTAATTCTTTGCATAATATTCACAACACGCATTGCTCTCAGACACTTCATCTCCACTGCCTCCAACTGCAACATTCACAACCCATGCTTCACATCCATAAGAGTATTGATACCACTATACTCTCATACATTCCCTTTTTTTTGTATCCATATATAATGTTTGGCTTAAATAGTGGTATAATTTCTGGTCTGGTGATAGTTTATTGTTCAAATTTAGCATAGAGGTACTTGACTTTCTCAGACAGTTACATTTCTGAGATGCTGATAACAGATAGTTTGTTTATATTAATATATGTCAGTTGTACTGATTTTGAAAACTGTCTGATTAACACTGTCTTATTTCTTTCTCTTCACAGATATCATATCTAGTGACATGATTGAGTTGCTTATTCAAAATATGTGTGTTCAGCTACTGTGCAGTTCCCGGGAGATTGTTGGTTCCTGCTTATCATTCATCAAGTCATCTTTCACCATCTTCCCTGTTCCTGTAATGTCCAACCATGTCGATACAATTGTTAAAGCTCTCTGTAATATGACACCAGATTGTCAGAGAAAGTTCAGACAGCAGGTGCGAGATATCTTATCCAGATTGATGCGCAAATTTGGTGCAGATCGTATAATAGGTGAGAGGGCACCAAAGATGCATAAGGAATGTTTTTGTTACTTTCAATGGTATAGAATATCAGTATATAGAATGGAGATGGGTATCATGTAAATAATTCATGCTACACATGGCTATACCTAAATAGATTTTAGTAATTTATTTTATACAGAGCTAATTGTCACTGAACCATTAATTTTTCCATTATCAGCTCTGGTGCCAAAGGGCAATACTGTGTTACATAAGCGCATTCGTAACCTCCGAAAAATAGCAGCAAGAAAACAACGAGAGTGGGAGGCCAGAAAGGAGAGTAATGAAGTAGAAGATGACGATGAAGACTTTAAATCTCGGGCTCTTCCTGCTAGGTAATGTATTGTGCTGCTTTTTATATTTTTTGTTTTTGTTTTTTCAAGAAACTGGCCATATCCCATTGAGAGAGGGTGACCTGAAAAGAAAAACAAAAGTTTCTCTTTTTAAATTTAGTAATTTACACAGAAGGGGTTACTAGCGCCTTGCTCCTGGCATATTAGTGGCCTTTTAAGACATGCATGGCTTACAGAGCAAGACTTCTGTTCCACTTCCTCATGGAGATAAGAGGTAATAAACAAGAATAAGAACTATTAAGAAAATAGAAGAAAACCCAAAGGGGTATGTATACAGCCTCTCCTCACTTAACAATGGGGTTCCGTTAATAAGAGTAGATTGGTAAGCGAATTGGTTAAGCGAGGAGCATACTGTACTGGTAGTGGGTTTTTGTCAACTATCTTTAAATATTTTTTTAATGTCACCTTTGCACCAATTATAACGCTTCTGGTATATTTTTTAAATGTTGATACGGTAGTTTACTGTATATACTGTAATAAACAGAATAGAGAAAATCAGCTCTAATGTACATTATTTAGGTTTGCATACTGGTTGGAGACCTGGTCGTAAGTTCGAGTGGTCAGTAAACCAGTATATTGCTAAGTGAGAAGAGGCTGTATATATATATATATGCATGTACATGCATGTGTAGTGTGACCTAAGTGTGTGTAGAAGTAGCAAGATATACCTGGTATCCTGCATGTTTATGAAACTGAAAAAAGGACACCAGCAATCTTACCTTCATGTAAAACAATTGTAAAACAATTATAGGTTTCCATTTCACACTTACTTGGCAGGATAGTAGTACCTCCCTGGTTGGTCTCTGTCTAGCATCCTACTTAGAAAGTTTTTTAATTATGTCAATATGAATAATGTACAATACTGTATGCATTTATTTTGGAATATTGGCAGTTTGACAATTTAATGTCCCTCCAAACGGCCAATATCCCAAACCCCTCCAGTTATAACACCAGCAGTCATAACACTAGTAGTCATAATACCAGCAGTCATAACACCAGCAGTCATAACACCAGCAGTCATAACACAAACAGTTATAACACCAGCAGTCATAACACCAGCCCTGCACTTTAAAGGAGGGGTTTGGAATACAGTGGACCCCCGCATAACGATGGCATCACATAGCGATTATTTCGCATACCGCTTACTTTAATTGCAAAAATTTTGCCTCACATACCGCTTAAAAACCCGCTTACCGATTTTCTTCCGAGACGCGCTCACATGTTCCGCCGGTGGCATTGTTTACCAGCCAGCCTCCGCGGTAACATCCAAGCATACAATCGGAATATTTCGTATTATTACAGTGTTTTCGGTGCTTTTTCTGGAAAATAAGTGACCATGGGCCCCAAGAAAGCTTCTAGTGCCAACCCTACAGCAATAAGGGTGAGAATTACAATAGAGATGAAGAAAAAGATCATTGATAAGTATGAAAGTGGAGTGCATGTCTCCGAGCTGGCCAGGTTGTATAATAAACCCCAATCAACCATCGCTACTATTGGTGGTACAGCTGCTGCTGCTGCTGCACTGTCAGCTGCTGCTGCTGCTGCACTGTCAGCTGCTGCTGCTGCTGTAGCACCGTTGTTGGTGTGGCTTATTGAGAATACCAAGAAACAATTAACCCCAGAGGATTTGCCACCCAGGATAACCCAAAAAAGTCAGTGTCATCGAAGACTGTCTAACTTATTTCCATTGGGGTCCTTAATCTTATCTCCCAGGATGCAAACCCACACAAGTCGACTAACACCCAGGTGAACAGGGAAAAATGCCTGGAACTAGTGCTCATATTGGTGAATTTAAAGCCAGCAAAGGTTGGTTTGAGAGATTTAAGAATCGTAGTGGCATACACAGTGTGATAAGGCCTGTTCTGGAAGAAAATGCCAAACAGGACCTACAGTACTCAGGAGGAAAAGGCACTCCCAGGACACAGTGTCTCATCAGTCATTGCTGCATCTTCAATAAAGGTAAGTGTCATTTATTCTTCATTTAGTAGACTAGTACATGCACAATATATACTGTGCATGTACTACTCTACTATTGTGCATGTATCCTTCTCTTTGTGTGTGGGAAAATGTATATTTCATGTGGTAAAATTTTTTTTTTCATACTTTTGGGTGTCTTGCACGGATTAATTTTATTTCCATTATTTCTTATGGGGAAAATTCATTCACATAACGATTATTTCGCATAACAATTACCCCTCTTGCACGGATTAAAATCGTTAACCGGGGGTCCACTGTATTGGCAGTTTGGAGGGATATCTAAACTGTGGTATCTGAGCACTTCTGCAGAGACAGTGATTATGTATGAGTGATGGTGAAAGTGTTGAACGATGATGAAAGTTTCTTCTTTCTTTTTGGGTTTTCTTTCTTTTTGAGTCACCCTGCCTCGGTGGGAAACGGCTGACGTGTTAAAAAATAAAGAAGTAATATATGTATTATACAGTATGCATTTCTTGTAATATACATTTATTATCATCAATGCTTCAGTGAAACAATCACCGTCATCAGGATCTGTGAAAGAAAATCACAACTCTTGTACAAAATGACACAGCAACACTGCAAACAATTACAAATAGTAAAATTAGTTAAAATATAAACCAGAAACCTAGAAATATGCTTAGTGAAGCAAGGGGGAACAGGGGCTTACCAAAATGCACAGTGGACCAATTGAGGTATAAACCAATGGAAAACATCCCAATTACTCTGCAGTAACTTTTGTTGTTGTTGAAGTTAATAATACCTCCATGCTTTGAGTTAGGTGTAAACTTACCATTTTTACACAGTTTACAGTGTATTTAATATAACTGATCTCTCTCTCTTTGCTTTATAGCCTGGATGAAATCTTGGCTGAGATAAACACAGATGATGAGGAGGAGGAAGAGGAAACCAGCAAGAATAAAGCTAAAAATAAGGGCAAAAATAAAGAAGTCAAAGAAAGGAGCACTTGGATTAAAGAAGATAATGTAAGTCATGCATTACTGTCTTGTTTCTATGTTAATTTTAAGCTCTTTTATGTCAGTTTGTCCCTTTAGAGGCATGTGTTAATGCTAATGAAGGACTCTTGATTATTTCCAAATATTTTTTGAAGAGACGCTTATGAAGATTATTATAGCTCAGACAAACAGAGCTTACCAGTACGCATAGGCCAGTAGAAATAAAGAAAAACAATTATAACTTATGTGACATATTATAGTGAGTACAGTAGGGCCCCACTTATTCGGCAGGTTAGGTTCCAGGGTACTACCGGAAAGCAGACTTCGATGGGAAGCAGAACTCCATTTTTTCCATTTATAAATGCATATAAATGCCAGATAACAAGTTTACACTAACATATATTAAGTTAGCAATAGAACTAGGCATTAAAATGTAAAATACACACACAGTACACTCATTATTTACCTCAAAACATTTGTTGTCTTAATGTAGGGCAAAAGGTGAGTAGTATTTACTCTAAGAAGTCAGGTGTGGTAGCCCTCCTGGCCACCCCACCTACATGTACTATACTACGATGCTTAAAGCCCCCTAGAGCATTAAAATGCATATACAGTAGATGCATTACTTACCTTAAAATATTTGTAGTCTTAATGGTCTTAATGTAGGGTGAGAGGTGAAAAGTATTTATTTGTAGAAAGTCGTGTGGGAGGTATGGCATCCTGCCTGGCCACTCTCACCTACTATGACATTAAGCTCCTTATAGCGATAAAATGCATATATAGTACACTCATTAATTACCTTAAAATATTTGTAGTCTTAATGTAGGGTGAGAGGTGAGTTTTATTTGTATGAAGTCAGGTTGGGAAGTATGAGTAGCCAGGAAGGGCAGCCCTCCCCACCCCACCCACACATAATGTAAACAAACCAGATGAACGCGTCCGGTTTTCATCACAAGTCCTACAAGTTGCCTGGCTACCACATTTCCTACAAGTTGCCTGGCTACCACAAGTCCTACAAGTTGCCTGGCTACCACAAGTCCTACAAGTTGCCTGGCTACCACAAGTCCTACAAGTTTCCTGGCTACCACAAGTCCTACAAGTCGCCTGGCTACCACAAGTCCTACAAGTCACCTGGCTACCATATCTCATATTTATGTTAATTTATTCTACTGTGGGGTGTATTTAGATGGATTAAGCAAAATGTCTATATTAACATTTTATATGATATTTAATGCTCCTTAGAGTGATTATTATTGTGTTGTTATTATTATTATTATCATTAATATGGCATCTTCAAGACTAATAAGACACTCTTAGTGATTTTAATGTGAACCTGCATGCCTGCACAGTGTGTAAGTTTACTTAGGTACAGGTACACATACGTATAATTATCATTTATAGTAATAATGTAGGGATGTAGTCCGCCTGGGCTACATACCTACACAATATTTAATGTGGCCCAGAGCCATATTATTACCATCGACATACCATGTTTACCAAGTTTAATCGTTTCTAACAGCTACCTTTAGATGTCATCATAAACAAAGGGAGAAGTAATGAATAATTCATGTTGAGAATTGTAAACAAAAGCATTATGTATTAAGGGGAGTGAGGTAATGTTTTCCCTCTGCCCGGCTACCACACCTCCATAAGAACATAAGAACATAAGAAAGGAGGAACACTGCAGCAGGCCTGTTGGCCCATACTAGGCAGGTCCTTCACAGATCCATCCCACCAATAGAATATTTGCCCTCATGAGAACATAAGATCATAAGAAATAAGGAACACTGCAACAGGTCTACTGGTCTATGCGAGGCAGCTCCAATTCTCCCCACCGACTTAAGCCAATGCCTTGACCTAGTGAGGTCAGACACGTCATAGCATATAAATAAAATGTTTATATGTTATGTAATGTGTTTCTTATATAATTTTGAAGAAAATATAATAGATGTATTAATGAAAATGTCTATGTTAACGTAAAATAAGACATTCAATGTGCCCAAGAGTGATTATTATTAGTATTACGTAATGTTTTCCCTCCAGCCGGCAACCACACCTCCATAGCATATAAACAGCATGTTTATATGCTATTTAATGTGTTTCTTATATAATTTTGAAGAAAATATAGATGGATTAATGAAAATGTCTATATTGATGTAAAATTAGACATTTAATGTGCTCAAGAGTGATTATTATTACATAATAGAGAGTTGTGCTCATGGAGAATGTAAACAAACCGGGTGGCCCACGCCGTATTTGAAAGACCACCTGCCATATAGAAAGTTTTGGTCATAGTTTGAGATCGCCATATTAGCGGAATGCCCTAAGGCGAAACGCCAATAAGTGGGGCCCTACTGTATTATAATTGAATATTATAATTATGTGCTTCTCCACATGTTTCAAATACTAAAACACCTTGAAATGTATCTGTTATATTATCAAAGTAAAAAATAAAATGGAAAAATATCTATAATTTGACATAAATTAAAAAATATAATGGTTATGTGCATTTATGTCGGTGTTGCTAACGAGGGATCATTTTTTGTCACATTCAACATGTAAATCCGTAAGTTTTCCTTTGATTTCATTTTGAGTCTTGTAAGTGTGTTTAGAAAAAAATGCTCTTTCAAACTACAAAACACTTTTTACAAAATGTTGCCACACACGAGAAATAAAAATATTGTACAGTGTGCCACAGTTTAAGGACTAAACTTTTTATGTACTGTGCTCATTTATGTTTTAGGCTAAGGGAGTACATGGTAATCATTTTAAATGAAATACTTTTACCAAATCTTTTCGGTGCAGGAGGGCATAGTGGACTTCCTAGATTCGTCAGCTGGCCAGGCTATTGCCTCCAAACGTCCTATTTTGAAGGCTGCTCGTGACAGGAAAGTTTCACAAGATGATGTACATGAAAGTGGCTTCAAGGTAGACAAGACCACGGGCAAGCTGATTATTACAGATGATGGCAGTAAGAAGGAAGACACTATTGCAAGTAAGTGTATTCTCGTTCTAAGTGTTTATAAGATTCAGGTGTGTTACTCATGTATTTGTTATATTATTGATTAATGAAATGAAGTACAGTTAGTTATATGTTACAGTATGACATGTAGGAGACATTGTGGTCGAAGATGTAGTAGGAAAACTTGGAGGATCTGGTGTTAATGATAATTATGCAGGACCTTTTATTGAATTATGCCTTGAAAGAGATTTTGTAATAGACAATACAAGTTTGAAGGAAAAAAAAAAAAAACAAATGAATATGGGTATATAAGATAAGTGTGCAATGTAAGTGTGGAAAGAGAACTGGTCTGCTAGAATGTGTGTTAGTGGATAGGAAGTTCAGTGGGTAGGCTTTTGTGTGAAGAGGATCAATTGATGCCTGATTTATTATTATTATATAGTGGTAGTTATGTAAATGTTTTACATTTACATAACTACCATCAAAACAAGTGTCATTAGAAATAGGGAAAGTGATGTGACACATCAAAACAGGTGTCATTAGAAATAGGGAAAGTGAAAGTTAATGAATTAAAGAATTGCAAGAAAGGTTGGCCGGGGTGAGAGAAAGCACAGTAATGTAGAACTTGTGGGTGCAGACGAGTAGATGAGGGACAAGGAGGAATGAGAGTTGTTAGGAGGGAAGAGCTTGAGGTGAATATTTAGGAAGTACTATAGTTTTAATTTGAGATATAAATCAGTCAACAGTGACATGGCTTGCTCTCAACAGAAATGGACTTCATTGAAGACATTGATGAGTTCCTTGGCATGAAGGATGGCGCTCAGGATGGGAAGATAAAGAATCGTAAAAGAACTTTAAGTGAAGGAACCAATGAACAGGCAGAGCCTCCCAAAAAGGTAACAACATATAATACTTCATACTTTTTCAGTCTGTCCATTGTATTTTTACACCATTATGTGAAATCTGAACCCTTTCAGTATTACATTCTTCCACTGCAAACATTACCCTCTCTGTATTGTAGCTTTTTTATAAAACATAAGACTAAAAGGAAATAATTTCTTACCTGTGTTTTAAAATCTACTATGATGCAGTAGAACCTCGGTTTTCGTTTGCCCTATTTTTCGTTGAATTCGGTTTTCAATGACTTTTTTTGTCAAAATTTTGTCCCAGTGTTTGTTCATCACTTCAGTTTTTGTCGAGTTGACAGTGGTCCGCCGTACCAAACGCGTCTGCCCATGCCCGCATAAAGCATCCCACATGTTCTGAGTCAGTCTGGCTTTGTTTCTCGTCGGTAGAGGGTGGTAATGATGGTGGTAGAGGGTGGTAGTGATTGTGGTAGAGGGTTGTAGTGATTGTGGTAGAGGGTGGTAGTGATGGTGTAGACTGTAGAGGGTTGTAGTGATTGTGGTAGAGGGTGGTAGTAATGGTGTAGAGGGTGGTAGTGATGGTGGTAGAGGATGGTAGTGGTTGTGATGGTGGTAGAAGGTGGGAGTGAATGTGGTAGAGGGTGCTAGAGATAACCTCTCCTCCCTCTTCCCTCCTTGCTGCCTTCCATACACCAACAAGAGTCTTCAGTAAAGGTAAAAGTGATGTTAAACGTTCATTGATCCATTTCATTAGTCCTTTATATTTATTTCTCATTGTTTTCTGTATGTAAAACTATAGTTATTCTCTATACTCTGTATTTTTTGTTAATACTTTTCGGTGTCTAGAATGGATTAATTGGATTTGCATTATTTCTTACGGGAAATAGTGCTTCAGTTTTCGTCGAATTCGGTTTTCGTCAGACTTTCTGGAACGAATTAACGATGAAAACCGAGGAATAATACTTGGTTAAATTATCATCATTTGTCACCTTTGTACTCTTGAATATGTGGATCAGCATTTTTTTTTGTGTGTGTCCTGTTAACTGTTATCTGCAGCTGGATTCATAAATTCTTGATCCATGTAAATTATTAAAATATGCAGTTATCCATGCACTGGGCTTTCAGAATGATTAATCACATGTGATATTCTGGTATTATGAGTTGGCTTTATTACCAGATCTGCAATTTTTTTAAACTTTTGAATCTCCTCATGTATATAGTATGTCTTGGATGCCCTATTTGTACAAAATGTCTCAAAAAATGCAAATTCTTTGATTAATACTATGGGCACTGAAATCATGGAGGATAATGGACCCCTAGTTTTTCCCCGTTGAAATATTTAATCAATCATATTAACTTAATTAGAGCTTCTAGGTATAATATAAATTCTTGTTACAGATAATCCACTGAACAAAATTCCAGTGTACAAGTCCACATCCCTTTATCCAAAATTCTGAAATTCGAATATTACACCAATATACAACATGTATTGCAATAGGAAATGGTTTTGGTGTATGCCACCCATGACTTCAACATAATGTACAGTATTTGTTACAGTGGTTTTCCTTGCCAAGCTTGGTGGTTATGGCATATTATATTTATTTAAATATTATATACAGCTAGGCCCTGCTTATACAGCAGGTAAGGTTCTGGGCTGCTGCTGGAAAATGAAAATCACTGTAAAGTGAAACAGGTAGTGTTTTTTTTTTTTTCAAATGTATATAAAAACCTGATAACATGTTTACACTGTTATGTATTAAGTAAGCAGTAGGACTAGGCCCAAATAATACATATACAGTACACACATTACTTACCTTAAAATATTTTTGTCCTTAGCTTATAGTGAATAGTGAATATATTTATTGTAGGAAGTCAGAATAAATGAAGAACAGGTATACAGTCATACCCTGCTTTACGTCATTTAGGCCTACATCAAATTCGCCTTTATGCCACTTTTCTAGAGTAAATTTCAGTTCACGAACGCCATTATGTCCGGCTTTGTCACTCAGCAACGTCACCTACATCATAATTTTTTTTAATTGTGTTCATTATCCTTTAAAAAACATGACTAAAATGCATTTTTAGTGTTCTTTAAAATGTATCAATAGTTATCGTTCACGAGTTATTAATCCTAGTTTTACAGTGTTTGTCATCATTTTAAGGCATTATGTCTGGTTTATGTTAAAAACTGGGTTGTATCACAGCTCTTGGAACCAGTTAATGACATAGGGCAGGGTATGACTGTATTTGAAAACCACTGCATTACCAAAACACTGTAAAATGAAGCACTGTAAAGTGGGGCCTGCCTGTACCTGTATAGTGTACCAGAAACTTTGTGTAATGGTTCTTTTATTAATTTGTGAAAGGCTTTTTCTTTTTTTTTTGTATCAAAATAAAATGGATTTGTAGCTAAGCAGTTGATTAATGTCTTTGTAAAGTTATAATTAGCATGGTCATACATCAAATATCATAATAGGGAAGGGGAAGGACACCCATGTGGTGTGAATACGGTTTTAGTTTTAACTAGGTGTTAACAATAAAGGCAAATTACAGTGGTAGTTTTTAAGATTTGGTTGTAATTATCAGTGAGCCTGAATATTTGATCACACCAGCCATATTGTTGGATTTTTGGTAGTTTTGGTCATGATCATTCATTATATGGAAAAAATATAGCACTCTTTTTTCAACAAACTGGCCATATCTCACCCAGGCAGGGTGGCCCAAAAGAAAAAACGAAAGTTTCTCCTTTTAAATTTAGTAATATATACAGGAGAAGGGGTTACTAGCCACTTGCTCCCAGCATTTTAGTCGCCTCTTATGACACACATGGCTTGTGGAGGAAGAATTCTGTTCCACTTCCCCATGGAGAAAAAATATATCCATTATATAAAACAAAATTTTTGACAGTTATCTTAAACATATAAGTTTCTGTATATGTATCTACCAATTAATTGATTAATGTTGTTATTTCTTATACAGGTTGGTGGTTTGTCTTCCAGCATAGACAGCAAGAAGAAAGTGGCCAAGAAGCGCCATGACTATGGTTCTGAGTTCCGATCTAGGAAGGCTGGTGGTGACATGATGAAGAAGGGTAAACTGTCTCCATATGCATATGTACAGTTCTCCAAGGACAGACTCAACAAGAGGTAGAGAATTTAGAATTTTAAATGTCTTGTATGAAGGAAAATGAGATGTATAGCTTATAAATTTAATACATATAAATTTTAGGAGATATATGTGTAAAAATTTTGGCAAAGTGATACATATTTTGTAAATTTCAATTTATATGACAGACTGATATTTGTTATTTATGTCAATTTAGTGGTAAAGAAACTAGTATCCTACACTGCTGATATCTTTTACTCATTAATTTGTTCCTCTTTGGAAAGAATATTAATTTTACTTTGGAGAATGGATTTATGCAGAATCGCTCTAATACATTTCAGCAACATTCAGGTGTTAAAGATTTTGTAGAAATATTGCACTTATTTGTGGAAGAATTGTTTTCACTAGCAAAATTGCACTATAAAAGAAAAAATTGTAAAAACAGGAAGATGCAGAAGATAAGAAAACCCGAAATAATTAAAAAGGTCCCACAGATCCGGTGCCATTAGTTTGTTACATTTTTATTTCATTGACTTTTCAGGTAATTATTATTTAGAAAAAAATGGATTATTAAGGAAACATTGTATTTGCTCTTGCAGGAAGAAAGCCAAGTATGAAGGACAGTTTACCAGCCTAGTGAGAGGAGCTAAAAGGGGTTTGGCCAAGGGCAGCAAGAAAAGACGTCGCAGCAAGATGTGATGAGCTGGTTATGGAATGTTTAATGTTTATCTTTTTTAGACACATATATGGTCTTTAATAAAAGATTGATACTGTACTAATTAGGGATGAAACAATATCAAAATTTTTGCAAGTACGTATTGATATTCAACTTTAGGCTGATAGTGATACCATCAAAATTAGCCAATACTGATACTAATACCATAAAAATTAGCCAATGCTGATACTTTGGCACATCCCTAGTTTAAATACACTGGCACTATTTATGATAAGTTTCATCACTGTACAGAGGAAATTGTTTAATAAAATATATAATTATATTTTGTTTAATTTTATTTGTATCCTTTGTGATATGAAATGTTTGTGAAATAGTGAGGAATAGGTCAAATCAGTGGATGAAGATTTAGTCATTAAATAGTTAATTCAGTGACAATGAAGTCACATATTGAAGTAGTCTAAGAGGTAGGACACCATTTTCATCATTCACTTCTCTGTTTTGATGCCTTTATGCCAGCCTGTTCATCAAACTGTTTTAACATGCTTGAGTATGCCCCTCCAGGAAGGTGCCTGATGCTGGTGAGGGGTTCTTGATCCTAGGAACTAAATTTGTCCTCCCATTACTGGAATGCCTCCCATTTCCCAGGTGCTATATGACCCCTATAGATTTAGTGCTTCCCCTTTATTAAAATAAATGTGCCTGAGCCAGTGGAGAGCAACACACTGGAAACTGATGCAGACGATGCAAGAGCTACTGAAACATCATTAGGAGGCTGAGGTAGGTGGTGGTTGGGAGGAGTTTCATGAGTGTTCTTAGGAGGCCAAGATTTAACCCTCAATGCTAAGTTTCAAAGTGACCAGTCCAGTGGAAATAAGCACACCTCAGGTTGATATGGGCCTTCAAGAAGGTTTGCTGATACTACAAGGAATTAGAGCTTACTTCCCTTTTTTTAGTATGAATTATTATTTACATTCATGGGGGAGTGCTAAACCCATTGGGATCACACAGCACATGGAGGAATGGAAGGCACTGAATTTCAGGAATTGGAGCACAGATCCAATTGCTTAGATCAAGGACTCCTTGTGAACATCATGATACTACCCTTGAGGGGTTCTAAGACGAAGCTTCCCCTCAAAGGTTCTATAATGTTAGTCGCTGTATAGTCCTTGTGGCTTAGCGCTTCTTTTTTGATTATAATAATAATAATAATATAATGTTAGTCACAGACTCTTGATCCAAGGAATTGGATACAACCTACCCTTACCTTGGATTGAACCTGATTTACTTCCATTCTCTAGGTGTTTTATCCCCTCAAGGAAGGTTCCTTGATGTTGGTGAGGGGCTCTTGATTTAGGGAATTGGATCTGTGCTCCAGTTCCCCGAATTAAGACTGAATGCCTTCCACATCCCCCCCCCCAGGCGCTGTATAATCCTCCGGGTTTAGCGCTTCCCCCTTGATTATAATAATAAAATAATAATCTAGGTGTTTTATGACCACTGTGGGTGTAGCATATTGTGTGTTAAAATATGCTAAATCTTGTATCCTGTGCCCATCAGGGAGATCCCTTGATCCAAGGAATTGAACTTAATCTTGCAGTCCTTGAATCAAACCTGGATACCCCTTATTCCAAAGGCATTATATAAACCCTATTTCATTTTTTATTATAATAATATATAAACCCTATAAGTTTAGTACTTTCCTGTGATTTGCCATGGACCATAATAAGGAGACTTAGATTTTCCTGTTGCTCCTAATGCTGTCACTGGCAGCAATACTGCCTTCAATATTGATGCAACTACCACTACTACAATCACCAGTACTGCCACTGAGGATGTCACTGCCGAAGAATCAAGCCGATTACCTCTTATTCCCTAAGCGCTTCCTAGTAGATACAATAATTTACTGTTTTTAATATAACTATGCTTGGGCCTTACATCGCTCAGACATACATACGTATGTACCCAGAGTGTACAGTACCTTTCACTTCCTGGACTGCAAAGAAAGCAAGTTATGAATGATACAGACTAAGCACTGTATGACCCCTATGGGTTTAGCATTTGCCCATAAAAATAATAATAACAATAACAAAAGGCTCGATCATATAATTTAATCATAGAAAGTACTGAACGGTTTGATCCCTTGTAGGTTTAGCGTTCCTTTTTCATTATAATAATGAAGGATTTTATTCCAAATCTGTAATTGAAATAGCCACCTACAAGAATAGGAAAAACAAATGGTGCCAAATGATGACATTGAAAAGTAATGGTGGCTTAGTTAGTAGAATATATTAGAACTGAAGTGTTTCAAGGCTTTTTCAACTCCCTGAAATATAAGGGGAATTACGAACAACCCCTCAAGCGAGGTTCCTTGATGCTGGTGAGGGGTTCTTGATTTAGGAAATTGGATCTGTACTCCAATTCCCTGAATACCTTCCACCCCCCCCCCCACAGGTGCTGTACAACCTCTACGGGTTTAGCGGTCCCCATAATAACATCACCTCAAGGATTCTTGATCCAAGGAACTGGACTTATCCTCCCTTTCCTTGGATTTAACTTGATTGTACCTTCACAGTTGCTGTATGATCCCCTACAGGTTTAGCGCTACCCCCATGAATATCATCATGACTAGGCCTCTTCTGAGCAACCGTCTATATAATCACTTTACATTTCTTTTCTCTTTAGCTTGTGAGCTCGGGATTTATGGGGTTAATTAATTTGTGTTTCAGCTGTAAAAATGCCATGCCAAGCTTTGATCACTGAACAATATGACAAAACAAGAGTGTTCGGTGGGAGGGAGCAAGAGTGTTCAGTAGGAGGGAACAAGAGTGTTCAGCAGGAGGGAACAAGAGTGTTCAGTAGGAGGGAACGAGAGTGTACAGCAGGAGGGAACAAGAGTGTTCAGCAGGAGGGAACAAGAGTGTTCAGCAGGGGGGAACAAAAGTGTACAGCGGGAGGGAACAAGAGTGTACAGCAGGAAGGAACAAGAGTGTACAGCAGGAGGGAACAGGAGTGTACAGCGAGAGGGAACAAGAGTGTACAGCGAGAGGGAACAAGAGTGTACAGCAGGAAGGAACAAGAGTATTCAGGAGGGAACAAGAGTGTACAGCAGGAGGGAATAAGAGTGTACAGCAGGAGGAACAAGAGTGTACAGCAGGAGGAACAAGAGTGAACAGCAGGAGGAACAAGAGTGTACAGCAGGAGGAACAAGAGTGTACAGCAGGAGGAACAAGAGTGAACAGCAGGAGGAACAAGAGTGAACAGCAGGAGGAACAAGAGTGTACAGCAGGAGGGAACAAGAATGTACAACGGGAGGGAACAAGAGTGTACAGCAGGAGGGAACAAAAGTTCAACTGGAAGAAACAGTTCCCTCCAGTCTCATCAACAACTCATTTTCATCTAATCTAGTAGCGAGAGGGAGAAAAAAAAACTATTATTACCAACGAAGTGTTATATACAACGGAGCTTGCCTTAAATCTTAATAAAATTACTCTTGGTTTTACGTAGTTAAAGAGGAGCAAAAGATCGTCTCTGGCGATGCCTGTGAATTGAACGAGGCATCAGACAGCAGTGTTCAGTAGCCCACAGACAGTGCTAGAGGGAAGGTGTGCGCGTTGCTCCTCTGTGTCTGCCCTCAATGAAGTCAATTATATTCGAGTGACATCGTAAGGAATACTACGCCATGGATGTGATTTGTGCTTTATATAATAACCACGGAGTTCTACATGAGTGATAACGAGAGCTCCAGGAAACCTTACTACCTAAGTCACTGCGTCATTGAGGTGATTTACGAGTACCCACCATTAATTGAGTGTACCCTTCGAGGAGTCTCTTGATCCAAGGAACTGACGTGACCCCATGATCTATATTCGGATCAAGCTGGATTACCTCCCAGTCCCCAGGCGTTGTATGTCTCCACTGTAAATAAGTCATCGTTTGGATTTATTGGGTCAACTTAATTTCAGTTGCACGTAACTTAAATAAAATTGTCAGTTTTGTGTAATATATTGTGTAAAAATTGTAAAAAATTAAATTGTGTAAGACTCCTCAATCAGCACGTGTTTAGCGCTCTCCCATGAATGAAAAAAGAACAAGGAATCAAATTTACTGATGAAATGTTTACACCGCAGATAAATTGATGCTGAACAGTCAGACTGACGTTTAACAAGACGCGAGGCAGAAACTGACGTTGAACAAGACGCGAGGCAGAAACTGACGTAGATAAACGAGCGAGGGAGAAACACGTTGAACGAACGAGGCAGAAACTGATGTTGAACAAGACGCGAGGGAGAAACTGACGTAGATAAACAAGCGAGGGAGAAACACGTTGAACAACGAACGAGGCAGAAACTGACGAATAACGATACGCAAGGCAGAAAATGCCATGGTTATATATATATTTAAATGTCAAGGATGTTGCTCCTTATCTAAGTTTCATCCCTGTATAACCCCGACGGGTTTAGAGCTTTTACACAAATATAATATTTTGTTTTAATATAAGACTTGGGCTTTATCTTATGTCACAGACATAAATAACTATAAATAAAACAATATTTCCAACAGACACAAATTAGGCAAAAAAAATAGTTATGAGAAAAGGTGCCATTTTTTCATGAAAATAAACGGTTAATCTTTTTTTTCTTTTTTTGACGGGACAAACATTATGCACTTGTTTATAATATAAACCAGACTGGGGAATAAGTTGCGTAAAGGAATTGGAGTTACCCTAGATTAAAGGATACTAAGGTCTGACCTTACCTTTCCAGGCTCCCCCATCACTTAAGCTAGCTAGCCTCTCACACAACCCTCTCCTTCCTTGACAACCTCAATGTCTCGACCATCTCTACCCCTCGTTATAAAAATGGGAATCTTTATTTGTGAAACGTTTCACCAGCCGCTGTGCTGGCTGCACATGTCTCATTCATCATCTCTATCCCACTTTTCTCGCCCTTACCGTATTATACGGCCTTCCACTTCCCTGCCTCCAAAGGCACTTTAAGACATAACGTCATATCTTGAAAAGAGAGAGAGAGCCGGAAATAAAACTAAATAACGTACAATTCAAACATTGGAAATCAACAGGACCTTCATCTGAACCTCAACCCACAAACACACCTCATGCCTAACTGCAATAAACATCTCGGCTGCCTCCTACATTTTCAACTAAACACACACACTTCTACATATGGCACACAGATCCCGTATCACATGTGCAGCACTTGCGTATCTTTATTGTCCAATACAAAGAATAATCCTGGAGACGGTGGAAGACAAAAAAAAAAAAGAAAGTAATTTGAGGTGATCAGTTGCTCAGCCTTGAAAGATGCTCAGTCTATTAGTCATGATTCCTCAAGATTGTTGGACAATATCACCATTTAAGGCTGAGTGACTGGTGACCTCAAACCACTACTACACGTCTTCCACAGTGCCCAATTGATTAATCACGGCCGAGGGACTGATCATCTCAAACTACTACTGCATGTACTCTGTTATCTCAGTATTATTCTGTTTTGAAACTGTCCCTTTGTGATTTGTTTTTTAGAGTCACTATTCAGAGTCGATACATTCGAAATGCCTTTGCTAAAAAATTTGGTTATTGCTATCTTTTTCGATCTAGATTACCCATACAGGTTTAGTGCTTGTTTATGATTATAATAATTTTTCGATCTAGAAAAAGCTTACGACACTACCTGGCATTTCAGCATTTTGTCCCAAGCCCATTCCGTAAGCCCGGACTACCACTTTTTCTCAAAGATTTTTCTGTCAGGGGCATTGAAGTGTTCGATTAAATAATAATCATTTTTCCTGATTTTTGTGCAAGATGGTGTACCACAAGGCTGAATCCCAGGTGCTACCTTATTCGGTGCTACTCTGATATATGTTAACGAATTTACCTCAGTTCTTTCCACAAGTGGTCATCCTTACATGTAGGTGATTTTTTTTTTTGTCATCGCTTGTGCATTCCCGGTCTCATGACTCGTAGCAACTACTCATCTAACGCTGTATACTACTGTGTAGATTGCGTGGCCAACTGGGCCACTTCACATGGTTTCAAGTTTTCCATTACTTAAACAAACTCAATTACCTTCACAAGTCACTATCATCCTACGGCTTATATATATATATATATATATATATATATATATATATATATATATATATATATATATATATATATATATATATATATATATATATATATATATATATATATATATATATAAACTTGCTGCATACTTGGCTCACGTCCAGCCTCGGAGGAGCTGGAGGAAATTCATCATCTTTGATACTTTGTGCCATTGTATTCATGTTTATGTTTTTTCTATATATATATATATATATATATATATATATATATATATATATATATATATATATTATATATATATATATATATATATATATATATATATGTCGTGCCGAATAGGCTGAACTTGCGATCTTGGCTTAAATAGCAACGCTCATCTTGCCATATAGGACAAGTGAAAATTTGTGTATGCAATAATTTCGACAAAATCATTCTGAACCTAACGAAAAAAATATATTTCACTGTGTTTGTTTAGTATTAAATTATTATAAACAAATCTAAAATATATTTAGTTGGGTTAGGCTAAAATAAATTGCGCTTGTTATAAAAAAGGTTAGGTAAGTTTTCTAAGTTCCTTTTGGTGCAAAATTTAAAAATTTTACATTAACATTAATGAAAAAAATATATCTTTAAACGTATAAGAGAAAATTTCGGAAAGGACTTAATTTTAAATGAGTTCTTGCTAATTGACCAGTTTTACATATTCGGCACGATATATATATATATATATATATATATATATATATATATATATATATATATATATATATATATATATATATATATATATATATATGTCTTGCCGAATAGGCAGAACTTGCGATCTTGGCTTAAATAGCAACGCTCATCTTGCCATATAGGACAAGTGAAAATTTGTGTATGCAATAATTTCGCAAAAATCATTCTGAACCTAACGAAAAAAATATATTTCACTGTGTTTGTTTAGTATTAAATTATTGTAAACAAATCTAAAATATATTTAGTTGGGTTAGGCTAAAATAAATTGCGCTTGTTATAATAAGGTTAGGTAAGTTTTCCAAGTTCCTTTTGGTGCAAAATTATAAATTTTTACATCAAAATTAATGAAAAAAAATATATCTTTAAACGTATAAGAGAAAATCTTAGAAAAGACTTAAATTTAAATGAGTTCTTGCTAATTGACCAGTTTTACATATTCGGCACGACATATATATATATATATATATATATATATATATATATATATATATATATATATATATATATATATATATATATATATATATATATATTTATACCTTGTATAAATAAATATACAAGGTATGATGTAGCACGTAATGAAAGTAGTTTATTAGATTATGTATTGGTGGATAAAAGGTTGATGGGTAGGCTCCAGGATGTACATGTTTATAGAGGGGCAACTGATATATCGGATCATTATTTAGTTGTAGCTACAGTTAGAGTAAGAGGTAGATGGGAAAAGAGGAAGGTGGCAACAACAAGTAAGAGGGAGGTGAAAGTGTATAAACTAAGGGAGGAGGAAGTTCGGGTGAGATATAAGCGACTATTGGCAGAAAGGTGGGATAGTGCAAAGATGAGTAATGGGGGGGTTGAAGAGGGTTGGAATAGTTTTAAAAATGCAGTATTAGAATGTGGGGCAGAAGTTTGTGGTTATAGGAGGGTGGGTGCAGGAGGAAAGAGGAGTGATTGGTGGAATGATGAAGTAAAGGGTGTGATAAAAGAGAAAAAGGTAGCTTATGAGAGGTTTTTACAAAGCAGAAGTGTTATAAGAAGAGCAGAATATATGGAGAGTAAAAGAAAGGTAAAGAGAGTGGTGAGAGAGTGCAAAAGGAGAGCAGATGATAGAGTGGGAGAGGCACTGTCAAGAAATTTTAATGAAAATAAGAAAAAATTTTGGAGTGAGTTAAACAAGTTAAGAAAGCCAAGGGAAAATATGGATTTGTCAGTTAAAAACAGAGTAGGGGAGTTAGTAGATGGGGAGATGGAGGTATTAGGTAGATGGCGAGAATATTTTGAGGAACTTTTAAATGTTAAGGAAGAAACATAGGCAGTAATTTCATGCACTGGTCAGGGAGGTATACCATCTTTTAGGAGTGAAGAAGAGCAGAATGTAAGTGTGGGGGAGGTACGTGAGGCATTACGTAAAATGAAAGGGGGTAAAGCAGCTGGAACTGATGGGATCATGACAGAAATGTTAAAAGCAGGGGGGGGATATAGTGTTGGAGTGGTTGGTACTTTTGTTCAATAAATGTATGAAAGAGGGGAAGGTACCTAGGGATTGGCGGAGAGCATGTATAGTCCCTTTATATAAAGGGAAAGGGGACAAAAGAGACTGTAAAAATTATAGAGGAATAAGCTTACTGAGTATACCAGGAAAAGTGTACGGTAGGGTTATAATTGAAAGAATTATAGGTAAGACAGAATGTAGGATTGCGGATGAGCAAGGAGGTTTCAGAGTGGGTAGGGGATGTGTAGATCAAGTGTTTACATTGAAGCATATATGTGAACAGTATTTAGATAAAGGTAGGGAAGTTTTTATTGCATTTATGGATTTAGAAAAGGCATATGATAGAGTGGATAGAGGAGCAATGTGGCAGATGTTGCAAGTATATGGAATAGGTGGTAAGTTATTAAATGCTGTAAAGAGTTTTTATGAGGATAGTGAGGCTCAGGTTAGGGTGTGTAGAAGAGAGGGAGACTATTTCCCGGTAAAAGTAGGTCTTAGACAGGGATGTGTAATGTCACCATGGTTGTTTAATATATTTATAGATGGGGTTGTAAAGGAAGTAAATGCTAGGGTGTTCGGAGAGAGGGTGGGATTAAATTTTGGGGAATCAAATTCAAAATGGGAATTGACACAGTTACTTTTTGCTGATGATACTGTGCTTATGGGAGATTCTAAAGAAAAATTGCAAAGGTTAGTGGATGAGTTTGGGAATGTGTGTAAAGGTAGAAAGCTGAAAGTGAACATAGAAAAGAGTAAGGTGATGAGGGTGTCAAATGATTTAGATAAAGAAAAATTGGATATCAAATTGGGGAGGAGGAGTATGGAAGAAGTGAATGTTTTCAGATACTTGGGAGTTGACGTGTCGGCGGATGGATTTATGAAGGATGAGGTTAATCATAGAATTGATGAGGGAAAAAAGGTGAGTGGTGCGTTGAGGTATATGTGGAGTCAAAAAAACGTTATCTATGGAGGCAAAGAAGGGAATGTATGAAAGTATAGTAGTACCAACACTTTTATATGGGTGCGAAGCTTGGGTGGTAAATGCAGCAGCGAGGAGACGGTTGGAGGCAGTGGAGATGTCCTGTTTAAGGGCAATGTGTGGTGTAAATATTATGCAGAAAATTCGGAGTGTGGAAATTAGGAGAAGGTGTGGAGTTAATAAAAGTATTAGTCAGAGGGCAGAAGAGGGGTTGTTGAGGTGGTTTGGTCATTTAGAGAGAATGGATCAAAGTAGAATGACATGGAAAGCATATAAATCTATAGGGGAAGGAAGGCGGGGTAGGGGTCGTCCTCGAAAGGGTTGGAGAGAGGGGGTAAAGGAGGTTTTGTGGGCGAGGGGCTTGGACTTCCAGCAAGCATGCGTGAGCGTGTTAGATAGGAGTGAATGGAGACGAATGGTACTTGGGACCTGACGATCTGTTGGAGTGTGAGCATGGTAATATTTAGTGAAGGGATTCAGGGAAACCGGTTATTTTCATATAGTCGGACTTGAGTCCTGGAAATGGGAAGTACAGTGCCTGCACTTTAAAGGAGGGGTTTGGGATATTGGCAGTTTGGAGGGATATGTTGTGTATCTTTATATGTGTATGCTTCTAGACTGTTGTATTCTGAGCACCTCTGCAAAAACAGTGATAATGTGTGAGTGTGGTGAAAGTGTTGAATGATGATGAAAGTATTTTCTTTTTGGGGATTTTCTTTCTTTTTTGGGTCACCCTGCCTCGGTGGGAGACGGCCGACTTGTTAAAAAAAAAAAAAAAAAATATATATATATATATATATATATATATATATATATATATATATATATATATATATATATATATATAATATATATGTGTGTGTGTGTGTGTGTGTGTGTGTGTGTGTGTGTGTGTGTGTGTGCGTGTGTGTGTGTGTGTGTGTGTGTGTGTGGTGTGTGTGTGTCGTGCCGAATAGGCAGAACTTGCGATCTTGGCTTAAATAGCAACGCTCTTCTTGCAATATAGGACAATCGAAAATTTGTGTATGCAATAATTTCGCCAAAATCATTCTGAACCTAACGAAAAAAATATATTTCACTGTGTTTGTTTAGTATTAAATTATTGTAAACAAATCTAAAATATATTTAGTTGGGTTAGGTTAAAATAAATTGTTCTTGTTATAATAAGGTTAGGTAAGTTTTCAAAGACTCTTTTGGTGCAAAATTACAAATTTTTACATTAACATTAATGAAAAAAATATATCTTTAAACGTATAAGAGAAAATTTTAGAAAGGACTTAATTTTAAATAAGTTCTTGCTAATTGACCAGTTTTACATATTCGGCACGACATATATATATATATATATATATATATATATATATATATATATATATATATATATATATATATATATATATATATATATATATATATATATATATATATATCCCCTGTCTCAGTAATTATTATTATTATTGTTAATATTATTATTATAATCATGGGGAGCGCTAAACCCGTAGGATTATACAGCATTGTGGGGAGGGGGGTGGAAGATATTCAGATTCAATTCAAGGAACTGAAGCACAGATTCAATTCCCTTGATCAAGAGCCCCTCACCAGGATCAAGAATATCCCAGTATGTGATACGGTCGAATATCATGGCTGTCCAACATCATTTCCATAAAAGCCACCTTACTCGGTTGAACCTATTTAAAACTTTAATCCATTTTACTTGGGGAACTGATAAGCTAACACTTCTTAGACTTGATGCAGCCTAATTCTGCCTTAGCTTGACTACGGGAACCAAGTATATTCTTCAGCTTCCCCAGCTGCTCTTCAGAAATGCAATGTCCTTCACTATCAAGGATTACGTTAATGTCTATCGATCTTTCCTTCTTGAGAGCTTGTATAGAGAAGCAAATATCCTTTTACAAGATAGACGTGATGTCCATTGCCTTACTTATTTTGTTCGTTTCCATGACTCACAATCCTGATTCACGAAATCGTAATGACACGACTGCGCGTCGGTCTGGAGTTTTATAACTGACCGCAGGTTCTGTCCTACCCGTGTTATGGTTTATTCACAATGCTCATACGTATAGAATAATCACATTATGTTCAATGAGGATTGTGAAGGTTATAGAAGTAAGTTTATTACGGCACTTTAATCTCCACATAACTTTGGCAGTATCTCTTAATTCACCCCTTTATTTTCACTTCATTCCCTACTCTTTCCACGCTCCTTGGGATATTCAAATAATTCATGTTTGTTCCTTGAATACTGTGAATCATTTTATTATGGTACGGCGTCTTACACTGACAATTCCAGATTCTCAAATGAAATAGGGTATGCTACTGTTTTTTCCTCAGAGTATTCCAGAGATATTTACTAAGAGTTGGCTAGCATTTCCACAGCAGTTATACTTGTTGCTGTCACAGCAACCATGTCCACCTCTTTCTTTTTGTCACACACTCATAGTGTGTTAGAAGCTCTTGAGGAATAAGACTTCCCAGATCCCATAATACTTCGTATACGACTCTGATTATGCTGAATTTCTAGCAAGCACAAACGTATTTTTTTTTGCTGGGTCCCTGAACCACCCGACGTTCATGGCAACGTATATGTAAGTTCAGCCGCTTGGTCTCATGTTCACCGTATACCAGTCTTCCAGAGAGAGGTCCTTTTTTGGGGCTATTTTCTAGAGTGAAACCGTTGGCAACAGCGTTAGTGCGAATTAGAAGACCAAGTTGTTTTCCACCAAACGCATATAGGCTCCTGGCCATCTTCCCATCGCTATCCGGCCTAGGAAACAGCTCACACGTTTGTAAATTTGCCACACAGACTCGCACACACGTCATATGGAAGGGGATCCTCAGTATCCACTCTGCGAGGACTGCTAGATAGTTCTGCCAATTTACAGTGTATTAATAGACTGCCCTATTTATCAGAAAGCACGCAGAATTCACTTTCGATATCTTCAATATCTTGACGCACTCTAACTGCCCTCCTTGTCGAAAGTCCGACCTTTGATGCTAACCTATTTCATCAACTATTATGTTAATGTTACACCTTCACTAACCCTCGTCTCTATTAACCCCTACCCCTACAATTTAAGCCATCTCTGTGCTGTATGACCCATATGAATTTGGTACTTGTTTTCGAATATATGATAAAATTACACTTTTCCAAAAACTAATAATTCATGGGGTAGTTGTGTAATGATTTTTTTTTTTTAAATTGTAGAGCTTAACTGTTAAATTACTCAACCGGGTGAGATTAGGTGGAGATGATTCACTTTGTTTTTAGCAATTTGACAACATCAGTGTTTTAATGTGAACTAATTAAACACAAAAATTGGTAATAGAGCACATGGAGTGTTAATGCTATTGCAAATCCTCAGTAAAGAACGGTAATCATGCGGTAGCTAAATTATACTCCTGTTGGTGAACACTGAAACTAACGTATAAACACGAGTGGATAGGATGAACAAACTAGTGTGACAATAAGGTGACCAGTGAACAAGTTTTCATGTCTAAGATCCAGGGCCGCGGGGGCGGTGAACCCTTCAATCATTAACACAAAAAACAGAACTAGCCAGGCTCTGTCTCCTCTTCCCTCCCCTCCTACGCCAGCTCCAGGCAGTGAGGGGGTCTCGTTACCCCCACTCCACTTCCGTCTGAGGCTGAGGAATGTGACATCAGAGGTTAGTCTTGTGTGCGTTGTAGCCTCAGCTGTACTGCATATCTCAACACACTTGTAACCTCAGATGATCCCATAAAGATGTACCTGTTAAATTATCTTCCTAACAGTAGACAATATTCATTAATTTCTTTCAGCCATTTAAGCATTTATGTGTGATTTTTGCGTTTGTGTTTAAATGTGTAAAAAAGCTTTGAACTTAAACATGGTATTTACATGTATTAGAGTGATTTTTAGAATAGTATATCTGGAAACTATCAGTTTATGTAATATCAGCATGTTTGAGTAAATCATATTCTTTTAATATTTTTAAGGTTTAAATAATTTTTGCACTACTATTCACCAAATATTTTATTAAGTGAATATATGAAGGTAAGCAGAAATGAAATAAAGAAACAAAACTAAATCAAACTAAGGTAGTTGAGGAAATTTTCATTAGGAATACGAAGAAATTATACATGGCATATATCTTTTCGTTACATTAACACCATCATAGGTGAATTTTATTTTGGGGATCAAGGTTGGTACACATTTAATTAATTTTGCAGCCTTATTTTCACATAAAATATTTGATGAAAAGACATTGTGATTGACTTCTATATTATATCTATGTACCTCCCAAGAATGTAGTCCTGTTGGTGTTAGTGAAATGTTGAGAGTTCCTGGTAATGGATGTGTGGATGCTGAGGCGAAAACTACTGTAGTGAGCTCATATACTGGTATGTTTGTGGGAAGTGGCTGGCCCAGTGGGCCCTACAGTCAAGTACAAAATTATACAGGGTTCGAGAGCATGTAGGTGTTTGACCGTCTTCTACAAAAATCGTCACTGAGACTATTCTCACTTCTAGCCACTTAATTGCAGGTGCTCCTGCTCCTCGTTGTATAGTTTTACTCTGTTTCCGCAGCTTATCTTTCTAGATTTTGTCATTCATCAGAGTGCGCAGAGGTGTCTGGCGGCCTGTATATCGTCAGACATTACCTCATTGTGGGATCGTCGACATATCCTATTGTTTTTGTGATTCTGTTCCTTTCCATGACCTCTGTGCTGCTCTTACCCATAGAATTCTTATAGCTGTTAGTAAAAGTAACCGTGTCAGTCCTCTTCTTTTTTCTTAATATCCCATTAAATCTTCGCCTCCCATTGCCTAGACCCTATATGACCCCTACGGGTTTAGTGCTTCTAGGTGAATATAATAATAATGATAGTAATAAAAATGTCTGCGAGAGATTTGTAGCTCCCTGGTAGCCAATCATATTTTTTTTTTTTTAGAATTAAATTCGAGGTTCGACATTAGTTTAGTTATGACCTTTTTTTTGTAATGTTTCTAGGAAGTTAGTCACACGTGATGCCAACAGTATCAGACTATGTATTACATTCTGTTAAGGCAACTTCCGTGAGAAGGTCTTGGAGTTTCTGAAACACTTCAAGCTTCCTGTATCATTTATAAAGAGCCTCTGGAGTATCTCTTAATGCTTCTGGAACACTTTTACAACATCTGGAACACCTTATACGAGTCTGGAGCATCTACATCCTCTGGAACATCTTTTATAGCATCTGGAATACCTTTTATAACCTCAGGAACGCCGTTTAGAGCACCTGGAGCAAATACCTCTGGAACACCTCTTGGAGCGTCTGGAATCCATCCTGAAGCCTCGTGAGCACTTCTTGGAACCCTTGTAACAAGTTCCATGGTGATAGTGGTGCTGGTGATGATAGGAGTGCTGATGGTGCTAGTGATGTCGATGGTAGTAGGAATAGTTGTAGTTGTGGTGGTGCTAGCGGTGGCAGTGATGGTGGTTGTGGTGGTAGTGATGGTTGTGGTGGTGTTATTGCTGGTTGTGGTGATGCTAGCTATTGTTTTTGGTGATGGTGATAGTGCTAACGGTGGTGGTGGTGATAGTGATGGTGCTTGTCGTGGTGCTAGTGATGGTGCTTGTCGTGGTGCTAGTGATGGTGCTTGTCGTGGTGCTAGTGATGATGCTTGTGGTGGTGATTGTGATGGTGCTACTAATAGTGCTAGCGGTGGTGGTGACGGTAGCAAATGTTTCTGATTAGTTATGGTGGTGATGGTTGTGCTAGTGATACAGATGGTTGCGGTAGTGACTGGTGGTGGTGGCGGTAGGGATAATCTTTCTAGCTAGTTATGGTGATGATTGTGCTAATAGTGTGGGTGGTTATGGTGGTGACGGTGTTAGTGGTGGTGGTGCTGGAGAGAAACCATGCGGGTACTCTGCACCTCCACAACGTTATCTGTTTTCTGGGAATTCCTGAGCTTACTCTGTTGTTCTATCACCAGTATTGTCCCGACAGAGAGAGACAGAGAAAGTGATGGTGGGGGGAAGAAGATAACAGAGTGGAACTGTGGCAGCGAGCATCGAACAAGATGCAATAAAAAAAAACTAGAATTATGATCAAGAAGTGTAGTCATGGAAAAAAATTAATGTAGGAAGACATGTTCTTTGCAAGGCAACTGACATATGTAGCAACATTGTCGACCATTTACAGGAAAAACAAGCAAGAACACTGAAATTAAGATTAAACATTTGAGCCATCGAAATATTGAAGTAATAGTTGGCATAAAGAAGTATTACAGTAACAGTTGGAACAAAGAAATATGACTAACATTTGGAACAAAGAAATATGACTAACATTTGGAACAAAGAAATTTTACATTAACATTTGGAACAAAGAAATATTACAGTAACATTTGGAGCAAAGAAAGAATTATTACAGTAACGGTTAGAAGAAAGAATTTTTACAGTTAAGTAAGTTTAGACAAAATAACATTTGTATACTTAAAGCAACAGCACTGGCCATGAGGGTAACGTCATGAACAAAATAATATTAACAGAAATTCTCTTGGTAAGGTTCTCGATTCAATAAATTGGAATTATCTTTTATCGGATCAAACTGTTGCATGACCCCAATGAGTTTATTATATCTTTCCTATGAATATAGTGATAGCAGGGACGAGGAATTAAAGACTTCAACATATTGGTTTATATAAAGTAAGAATATGGCCAAAGAACTAAGAAGAAAGGAAAATAAGAATAAGATGTAGCTAAAAAAAAATATGTAATAAAGTTGGTAGAATTAACGACAATATGTAAAGTAAAAGGACACAAGTTCAACTAATGTGACATTTTTATTGTGGCAACGTTTCGCTCTCCAGGAGAGCAAAACGTTGCCACAATAAAAATGTCACATTAGTTAAAAAAAAATATCCTAGCATAGGTGAAATTGAAGACGTGACTGACCTGAATATTCAAGGGACGGAGAGTACGGTGTTAAGGTAGCCTTGATGAAGCCTTGGCGCCTGTGAGTTACTTTTGAGGTAAAGAATTGAGGCTACCCTGCCTGTCCTGGCGTCGATTTGATTGCCTTCCATTCCCCAGTCGTTTGATGACTCATTCGTGTTTAGCGCTCCCTCATAACATATAATGATAATAATTGAAGGAGGGAATATAAACGTAAAAAGTTGGGGATCGTATAGATGGAACGAGAAATTAACCAGTCGATATATAAACTAGGTACAGTACAAAGTAATAAAACTAAAATTTACGGTTGAATACAGAAATATAGAAAATGCTAAATTATTATTTTAATAGTCTGAAATGTGACCGAAGCTGCATTTTTTGGGGGGGGGGTGAAACACAAGAACAAGAACTCTATAGGATATTAGCCTCTCTCCATAATCAGCGTCATTATATCACTTTGGCTAAGAACGCCAACTGTATGACTGAGACCAATATAAATATTTCACAAATAACCCATACTTAAAAAATGCCACTTTTAGACTTTTCTGTCCTTCGTAGACCATCAGTATCAAGTTACAACAGAGCGAGAAAAGGCAAAGACCAGAATGCAGGTCGGGGAGTTGGGCGAGGAAGATGGAAATAGTAGTGTAGTAATAATAGTAACAGTAGAAACAGCAGTAGTAGAATTAGAAAGAACACTCATTGTGTCACCCTTTTTTTCGTATTTCCAAAAGTTTTAATAGTTGTCGTGTAATAAATTGCATTTATTGGCGTTTTGAAATTTTGTAATTGGTTATATTTTGATTATTATGGACGACACTAGCGGCTAGTCTGACAAAATCTAAACTACATAATGTATATCGAGAAATTTTCTTAAAATCTTATTTGGCTGGCTACAAATGCAGTTTTTTTCTGAATCTAATATTTTGTGGTGTAGAATTGTTTTGAACAGAATCTAAGTCTTTCAATTATCTAGATTGATAACCCAGCGGATGCTTTTGTTCTAGTAATGGATGGGCGAGTCTTGGTATAAGGATGCAAAATTGATACAAGATTAATTCCGCTTATTATTAAGGAGTGACATGTCTTGCTTCAAATCTGGGCAACTTTAAAAAAAAAAACAGCATTCTTATTTACTCCTTTCAGAGATAAATAAATGAATGTAATAATGATAAAATGTCATTTAAGTATTTATTAATGATCGGCGACCACGGGGACACCCATTTTGATTTCTCAAATTCTTCAAGGGTGACAGAGTGGCACCCGCTGGATCAATTGAGGCTCCTCAAAGGTTCACTATCAGAACTGTGGTCGTGCATAACGACGTTTCGGTTCGACTTGGACCATTAACTCGGTCTAAGTCGGACTGAAACGTCATAGGTTTCATTCTCCTATGTGCTGGTTATTTGTGTATTATTCCAGTCACGGCACTGTGCCTTTTATTCTTTATGATCACATGGGAATAATTTAACTATCTTACACTATGCTGTCAGTCAAGGCTCTCAGCATACATGCAATAATAACTAGATGAACAAAATATAAACATAGAGCTAAGTTATGTAATCTGGTGAAATGGAAAAGAACAAGAGATAATAGAGAAAAGAAAAACATAAGAATGGAAGAGCAGATTAATGGAAGAAAAAAGGGAGACCAAAACAGCAGCAATTCAGAGGTGAAAAGTATGCGTGAGAGATGGAACATTAGGTCAGTGGATGAGAGTTAAAATAATGTCATGGAATATAACTGAGGGAATTAGGAACTAAACGGGAGAGAGGAATGGAAGTGTGGCAGTGATTGGTTTAGCCTCGGTGGCGGGGGGGGGGGTTATTGTGGAGGGGTGTCAGGAGAGGATGGAGGGAGACTGGGTAACGGGAGTCAGGGGTGGAGGGAAATTTGGTGTTGGACGTGCGGGTACCCGCACCTTCAATACTCCACTGATTTGCTGCTTCTGTCACTGTTTCTGCTGTTGCTGTTTCGCTATTACTCTTGCTGCTGTGCTACATAGCCTTTTTCCAGTTCCAGTGGCTTATGTCACTGCTGTTTCTGTAAGTACCTTTAGCCTTGCTGTTGTTACTGCTGATTATGTAACTCTTCATACTTGCTCCGTACTGCTGGTGTTGTTGCTGCTACTATAACGTTCCTTAATCCTTCTGCTCTTTCTTTTATAAAGATCCTTAACCGTTTCACTCTATTAACTTTTTCATTTCCTGCTTCAAGTTCCGCCCCTCCCTTATTCCTAGCTTTGTCCATAGCATCGTCTCTCTCCAGCTGTGTCCTTCTATAGCTTCGTCCATCCTAGTTTCGTCGCTCCCTCCTAGTTTTCTGGTTACCTACAATAAGCACACACTTACTCTACTCCCCATGCCGCAACTACCGTACCCTAACGACCGTACGATAATTTGAGTTGGTAGCTACAAAGCCGCACATTTAGGATCAGCGCTTAATTTGAATGTGTTTAAAACGACGCTATCAAAAAATTGTGTGCACACTGTACACACCTATTTGTGGTTGCAGGGGTCGTGTGTGGGTATGTGTGCTCACTTGTTTCCTCACCCATTTGTGGTTGTAGGGTCGAGTCCTAGTTCCTGGCCTCGCCTCTTCTCTGGTCGCTACTAGGTCCACTGTGTGTGTGTGTGTGTGTGTGTGTGTGTGTGTGTGTGTATGTCAGTAATAACCTACTGGATCATGATTTTAACAATTTGAGTTTGCAGTAGTAAAGGTCTCGCCTTTTTCGGTCAACTTTCGTGAAATAGCACTGTCATGGTTTATTTTTGAACCCACTGTTTTAATTGATTTCCACTTTTCCACTGTGTCACTAGGTCAAGGTTCACCCCTAGATGCCGTGACCGAGTTTCCTTAGTGTGTGCAAGTGCCAGTTTGCCAATTTTATTTAAAAAAATGGTGCGGTTTCCGTGAAATATCCCGACTTTGGCTCATCTAAACGACCTCAATTGTTATGCATTGCTGATGCATTTTATAATAAGGATGGTTCCTTACAATTTTAGGCTGTGTAGGAGCAAATTTGCCAAATAAACCAACATAGATAAATATCTTGTAATTGTTGGAGGCCGTGTAGTAAGTTGAGAATGACCCTTTTTTTTTTTGCCTGCTTCATACTTTTAACACTGGTAGGTTTTTCTTAGTGGAAAGTTTGCATTATTACTATATATATATATATATATATATATATATATATATATATATAGGCCTTACAATGAGGCCTTCTTCAGAAAACTGCTGAAGAGTGCTTCTTCATTTTAGTATCTAAAGAGAAGAGTGGTTCATTTAAGACACACACACACACACACACACACACACACACACACACACACACACACACACACACACACACACACACACACACACACACAATAAGAGGCGGGGCCAGGAGCTTGGACTCGACCCCTGCAACCTCAACTAGGTGAGTACAACTAGGTGAGTACACACACACACACAATAAGAGGCGGGGCCAGGAGCTTGGACTCGACCCCTGCAACCTCAACTAGGTGAGTACACACACACACACACACACACACACACACACACACACACACACACACATAGGGATGTTAGGAAGTATTTCTTTAGTCTTAGAGTTTTCAGGAACTGGAATAATCTGGAGAGTGAAGTAGTGGAAGCAAGTTCCATAAATAGCTTTAAGAAGAGGTATGACAAATATCATGGAGCAGGGAGAGAGTGAATTAGTATCGACCAGTGAAGAGACGGGGCTAGGAGCTATGACTCGACCCTTGCAACCACATATAGGTGAGTACATATAGGCGAGTATACACACACACGCGCGCGCGCCTACAGACCAGTATCACTGACATGTATAGTATGCAGTCATGGAGAAGATTATCACGAGGAGAGTGGTGGAGCACCTAGAAAGCAATGAGCTTATACACGATAACTAGCACGTTTCAGGGAGGGAAAATCCTGTGTCACAAACCTACTGGAGTTTTACAACAAGGTAACAGAAGACAGGAGAGAGAGAGATGGGCGGGAGGGGGTAGACTGCATTTTCTTGGACTGTAAGAAGACTTTCGACAAGGTTCCACACAGGAGATTAGTGCAAGAACTGAAGGAGCAGTCAGTAATAACAGGAAAGACAATACAATGGATGAGGGAATGCTTGACGGGAAGGAAACATCCAGTGATGGTACGGGACGAGATATCAGAGTGGGCGCACGTGACGAGCGGGGTTCCACAAGGATCAGTCCTAAGGCCAGCCCTGTTTCTGGTATATGTGAATGACATGCCGGAAGGGATAGATTCAGAGGTGTCCCTGTCTGCAGATGATGTTAGACTAAGTGGAGAGTTCGAGCGGACGAGGATCAGGTAGGACTACGAAGAGATCTGGACAGGCTGAAAGTCTGGTTCAGCAATTGGCTCATGGAGTTTAATCCCACCAAGTGCAAAGTCATGAAGATTGGGGAAGATCAAAGAAGACCGCAGACGGAGTACGCGCAAAGGGCCCAAAGGCTGCAAACCTCACTTAAGGAAACGGATCTTGGGGTGAGTATCATACGAGCACATCTCCAGAGGCGCACATCAAGTAAATAACTGCTGCATCATATAGGTGCCTGGCAAACCGAAGTATTTCAACACCTGAGTAAGGAGTCATTCAAGACACTGTACACTGTGCATGTCAGGCTTATATTGGACTATGCTATACCGGTATGGAATCAACACCTGGCCAAGCACGTCAAGAAATTAGAGAAAGTGCAAAGGTTTGCAATAAGACTAGTCCTGGAGCTAAAGGGTATGTCCTACGAGGAGAGATTAAGGGAAATCAACCAGATGACACTGGAGGACAGGAGGGATAGGGGGAATACATGATAACAACATACAATATAATGAGAGGAATTGACAACGCGGATAGGGACAGAATGTTTCGGAGATAGGACACAGCAACAAGGAGTCACAACTGGATATTAGAAAGTATTTCTTCAGTCATAGAGTTGTCAGGAAGTGGAACAGTCTGGAGAGTGATGTAGTAGAGGCAGGATCCATACATAGCTTTAAAAAGAGATATGATAAAGCTCTTGGAACAGGGAGAGAGAGTGGACCTAGTAGTGACCAGCGAAGTGGCAGAGCAAGGAGCTATGAGTCGAGCCCTGCAACCACAATTAGGTGAGTAGACACACACACACGGGGCCAGGAACTAAGTCTCGACCCCTGCAACCACAATTAGGTGAGTACACACACACCAGGAGCTAGGACTCGACCCCTGCAACCTCAACTAGGTGAGTACACACTGGAGGACAGGAGGGTTAGGGGAGACATGATAACGACATACAAAATACTGCGTGGAATAGACAAGGTGGACAGAGACAGGCTGTTCCAGAGATGGGACACAGAAACAAGGGGTCACAGTTGGAAGTTGAAGACCCAGATGAATCAAAGGGATGCTAGGAAGTATTTCTTCAGTCATAGAGTAGTCAGGAAGTGGAATAGCCTAACAAGTGAGGTAGTGGAGGCAGGAACCATACATAGCTTCAAGATAAGGTATGATAAAGCTCATGGAGCAGGGAGAGAGAGGACCTAGTAGCACTCAGTGAAGAGGCGGGGCCAGGAGCTGAGTCTCGACCCCTGCATCTACAATTAGGTGAGTACACACACACACACACACACACACACACGTCAAGTTTCTACTTTCTCAACATAATTGACTTAAATGCAAACATTCGTCTTGTATTACAGGGATGGAGCCCAAGAGCATCAAACAGGAGCGGGAAACTGGTAAAGAGGAACTGGCCAATCAGGAGACGGGTAGCGAGGCTCGGGCGCCGTCATTGGTCCAGGGGCTGGCCAACCAGGACTCGCGCAGCTCCCGGAGCAAAGGTAGGCTTACAGGCGATTAAAGTAGATTTGGCGAATCCTAGCCGATCATGACGCGAATTTAATCCCCTTCATTACCAACCGAGCCCCGTCGCCAATATTCCATCCCCCCATCCCCTAATGTATATATATATATATATATATATATATATATATATATATATATATATATATATATATATATATATATATATATATATATATATATATATATATATATATATATATATATATATGTCGTGCCGAATATGTAAAACTGGTCAATTAGCAAGAACTCATTTAAAATTAAGTCGTTTCTAAAATTTTCTCTTATACGTTTAAAGATATATTTTTTTCATTAATGTTAATGTAAAAAATTTTAATTTTGCACCAAAAGAATCTTAGAAAACTTACCTAACCTTATTATAACAAGAACAATTTATTTTAGCCTAACCCAGCTACATATATTTTAGATTTGTTTACAATAATTTAATACTAAACAAACACAATGAAATATATTTTTTTCGTTAGGTTCAGAATGATTTTGGCGAAATTATTGCATACACAAATTTTCGCTTGTCCTATATGGCAAGATGAGCGTTGCTATTTAAGCCAAGATCGCAAGTTCTGCCTATTCGGCACGACATATATATATATATATATATATATATATATATATATGTCGTGCCGAATAGGCAGAACTTGCGATCTTGGCTTAAATAGCAACGCTCATCTTGCCATAAAGGACAAGTGAAAATTTATGTATGCAATAATTTCGCCAAAATCATTCTGAACCTAACGAAAAAAATATGTTTCACTGTGTTTGTTTAGTATTAAATTATTGTAAACAAATCTAAAATATATTTAGTTGGGTTAGGCTAAAATAAATTGTTCTTGTTATAATAAGGTTAGGTAGGTTTTCTAAGATTCTTTTGGTGCAAAATTATAAATTTTTACATTAACATAAATGAAAAAAATATATCTTTAAACGTATAAGAGAAAATTTTAGAAAGGATTTAATTTCAAATGAGTTCTTGCTAACTGACCAGTTTTACATATTCGGCACGACATATATATATATATCACCTTTACTATACTGCCTGTAACTTACCTATAAGTTACTTGTAGTCACTTCCGGGAGTGAGCGCCCCCGCTGCCCGGTCCTAGACCAGGTCTAGTTGCTGTCCTGATCAACCAGGCTGTTGGTGTCCTCCGTAAAGAAAAAAATATTGGAAAGGTTCACGATTTTGCTTCAACCTTGATATTATATTTCATAATTCATCTTTAATGTTATTATCCATTCTTTTAGTGCTGTTATTATCTTTTGTTGTTCTCGTTTATTTTTAATTGATATTATCTTCTGTTGTTCTCGTCTGTTGTTATTTTCCGTTATCTTCCGTTGTCTTGTCTGTTATCTCCGTTGTTCTCGTCTGTTAGTCATCTTCCGTTATTCTCGTCTGTTATCTTCCATTGTTTTCGTCTGTTACTGTTATTAGTTTCCGTTGCTATCGTCTGTTATTGTTATTATCTTCCGTTGTTCTAGTCTGTTAGTCGTCTTCCGTTATTATCGTCTGTTATTGTTATCTTCCGTTGTTCTGTTAGTTATTACCTTTCGTTGTTCTCGTCTGTTATCTTCCATTGTTCTCGTCTGTTATCTAACATTTTTCGCGTGTTGTTATTGTTAATATGATCTGTTATTATTAAGAGGATAAGAGAGTAGGAACAGTGCAGGAGGTCCACTGGCCCACACTAGGCATCTCTCTGGGGCTGGGGTGGTAGCACTTGCAGACTCGATTGAGAAGGCCATTGGTGAAATGCCTATGATTTTAAACTGATGGAAGATAGAGGTATGGGTGTGTGTGGGAAACAAGCAGGTTGCAACACTTGGGTTGGAAACAGTAAATGTATAAAAGGCATTCAGCATGAAGTTATAAATAAAGACAATAGATCAGGTCAGCAAACAAAGGGGGACAGCAGAGGGCAGCAAGGGACTAGCTCCCTTAAGGTTTACTATACTAATAGCAGGAGTGTAAGAAATAAGATAGATGAGCTAAGATTAATTGCAAGTGCAGGAGACATAGATATTATTGCTATAACAGAGACCTGGCTCAATCTGAAAGATAGAGAGATGCCCTCTGAATGTCACATACAAGGCTATAAATTATTCCACACTGACAGGGTCAACAGGAAAGGTGGTGGAGTAGCGATGTATGTCAGAGACAATTTAAATTGTTGTGTTAGACAAGATATTAAATTAGAAGCGTCAGCCACTGAATCTGTTTGGTTACAGCTTCTCGAGGGCCGAGAAAAACTAATTTTGGGTGTGATTTACAGGGCCCCAAATCTTGATAGGGAGTGCAGTAAACTTCTATGGGACGAAATTCGTAAGGCATCTACATACGAAAATGTTGTGCTAATGGGAGATTTCAACTATAGACAGATTGACTGGAGCAATTTGACAGGAAATTTAGAGTCAGGTGACTTTCTTGATACGATCCAGGATTGTTTTTTAAAACAGTTTGTGACAGAGCCAACTAGGGGAAATAACCTCCTTGACTTGGTTCTTGCCAGTAGGGAAACACTAATTAATAATCTTGAGGTTAATGATGAGCTTGGGAAAGTGATCACAAATCACTCAGTTTTAATATATCATGGAATTCCCCTAATAATGGCAATCAAGTCTCCGTCCCTGACTTTCGCTTGGCTGATTTCATAGGACTGAAAAATTACTTAGGTGGGCTGAACTGGAATGACCTGACTAAGGGTCAGGTAGGTGGTGATGGTTGCCGATATGATGCTTTCCAGGGCATAGTTCTAGCTGCTCAGTCAAATTATGTTCCAAATAGGGAAATCAGATCAAACAAAAATGATCCTAAATGGATGAACAATAGATTAAAATATCTGATTGGTCAAAAGAGAGGCATATATAGGCAAATCAAAAGAGGAGAGGGGCAATTGAGAAATCGATATATTCAGTTAAAGAGAGAAATAAAAAAGGGAATTAGAAAAGCAAAAAGAGATTATGAGGTTAAAGTTGCAAGAGAATCGAAGACTAACCCAAAAGGATTCTTTCAGGTATACAGAAGTAAGATCAGGGACAAGATAGGCCCACTCAAAAGTTCCTCGGGTCAGCTCACTGACAGTGATAAGGAAATGTGTAGAATTTTTAACACATACTTCCTCTCAGTTTTTACACAGGAGGATACCAGCGATATTCCAGTAATGATAAATTATGTAGAACAGGACGATAATAAACTGTGTACTATTAGGGTCACAAGTGACATGGTCCTTAGGCAAATAGATAAATTAAAACCTAACAAATCCCCAGGCCCTGATGAACTGTATGCAAGGGTTCTAAAGGAATGTAAAGAGGAGCTTAGCACACCTTTGGCTAATCTTTTCAACATATCACTACAAACTGGCATGGTGCCAGATAAGTGGAAAATGGCAAATGTGATACCTATTTTCAAAACAGGTGACAGGTCCTTAGCTTCGAACTATAGACCAATAAGCCTAACCTCCATAGTGGGAAAATTTATGGAATCAATAATTGCCGAGGCAGTTCGTAGCCACCTTGAAAAGCATAAATTAATCAACGAATCTCAGCATGGTTTTACAAAGGGGCGTTCCTGCCTTACGAATTTATTAACTTTTTTCACTAAGGTATTTGAGGAGGTAGATCATGGTAATGAATATGATATTGTGTATATGGACTTCAGTAAGGCTTTTGACAGGGTCCCACATCAGAGACTATTGAGGAAAATTAAAGCACATGGAATAGGAGGAGAAATTTTTTCCTGGATAGAGGCATGGTTGACAAATAGGCAGCAGAGAGTTTGCATAAATGGGGAGAAATCAGAGTGGGGAAGTGTCACGAGCGGTGTTCCACAGGGGTCAGTGTTGGGCCCCCTGCTGTTCACAATCTACATAAACGACATAGATGAGGGCATAAAGAGCGACATCGGCAAGTTTGCCGATGACACCAAAATAGGCCGTCGAATTCATTCTGACGAGGACATTCGAGCACTCCAGGAAGATTTGAATAGACTGATGCAGTGGTCGGAGAAGTGGCAGATGCAGTTTAATATAGACAAATGCAAAGTTCTAAATGTTGGACAGGACAATAACCATGCCACATATAAACTAAATAATGTAGATCTTAATATTACGGATTGCGAAAAAGATTTAGGAGTTCTGGTTAGCAGTAATCTGAAACCAAGACAACAGTGCATAAGTGTTCGCAATAAAGCTAATAGAATCCTTGGCTTCATATCAAGAAGCATAAATAATAGGAGTCCTCAGGTTGTTCTTCAACTCTATACATCCTTGGTTAGGCCTCATTTAGATTATGCTGCACAGTTTTGGTCACCTTATTACAGAATGGATATAAATTCTCTGGAAAATGTACAAAGGAGGATGACAAAGTTGATCCCATGTATCAGAAACCTTCCCTATGAGGATAGACTAAGGGCCCTGAATCTGCACTCTCTAGAAAGACGTAGAATTAGGGGGGATATGATTGAGGTGTATAAATGGAAGACAGGAATAAATAAAGGGGATGTAAATAGTGTGCTGAAAATATCTAGCCTAGACAGGACTCGCAGCAATGGTTTTAAGTTGGAAAAATTCAGATTCAGGAAGGATATAGGAAAGTACTGGTTTGGTAATAGAGTTGTGGATGAGTGGAACAAACTCCCAAGTACCGTTATAGAGGCCAGAACGTTGTGTAGCTTTAAAAATAGGTTGGATAAATACATGAGTGGATGTGGGTGGGTGTGAGTTAGACCTGATAGCTTGTGCTACCAGGTCGGTTGCCGTGTTCCTCCCTTAAGTCAATGTGACCTGACCTGACTAGGTTGGGTGCATTGGCTTAAGCCGGTAGGAGACTTGGACCTGCCTCGCATGGGCCAGTAGGCCTTCTGCAGTGTTCCTTCGTTCTTATGTTCTTATGTTCTTATGTTCTTATGTTCTTACTGTTATCTACCGTTGCTTTCTCTGTTGTGTAAATATTCGGTTATATATAA